AGGTCCCCACTAGTGAGGTTCCCACCACTCACCAGCTTGCAGGCAGGCTGCTGGCAGCAGTAGAAGCAGGATCCCTCCAGGAAGTGAGACCAGCAGAGCCATCAGGAAGGAGAGGAGGCCCCGTGGAGGAACCCTGGGTGCTAAGGAGTCAGGAGAGAATCAGGGTAAAGTGACCCACTTTCCCTGTGTCTTCTCATGTGGAGGACTGAGTTGGGCCAGGACCTCCCCATCTCCACCTCTTTGTGGCCAGGAACTTCCTTTATCATTCTGGCTTCTTCTTTCCCACGTTACAGAAGAACTGCCCTTGTGGTCACTGAGAAGATGACTGCACCCATGAGCCCAGCCCCCATTTTTTGCTGAAAGAAACAGCCTTGACCTCTGCATGCCAGGCCCTCCTCTCTTCCACCCTGACCTACTGTGTCATGCAGTTTTTTCCCATTCCCTATGCAGCCTGCAATCACTGCTTCCTCAGCTCCCATTTCCTCCACTCCCGCCCTCCCCTCAGTCTGTTTCTCTCTCTCTCTCCCCTCGCGCTCTCTCTCTCTCTCTCTCTCTCTCTCTCTCTCTCTCTCTCTCTCTCTCTCTCCCTCCCTCCCTCCCTCCCTCCCTCCCTCTCTCCCCAATAATCACAGTTAAGAGATTGGCCATTTTCTGCTTACCAGAAAGTATGAGGAAGGAGGTGATGAGGAAACACATTCAGTCCCAGCCCTAGCTTGGTGCCCCACCATTGTCTGCTCTTTGCACTCTTGCTGCCTGTCAGGAACTCCTCACAGAACCCCACGAAAACCAATGCCAAGTGCACAATCTTGCCCTGAGTGCTCGCTGTTGCCTAGTCTGTAACTTCCCTGTGCTTCCTGGTAAGTTACAGACTAGTCTTATTCACCTCGACAGCCACTCCAGAGCTACTCCAGTTTCTGAAGAAGAGTTTTCGCCTCCCACCACCCTTAACACACACTCAGAAGAGGAAACCAAGGGTCAGAGAAGCCCTGGCACATGTCACATGACTGCCACACGGCAGGTGACTTGACTTCAGTCCAGCTGAGTTCTCCTAGTCTCACTCTCCACACTGACTTCCAGCTGCCTGCTTAGTGCAGTCTCTGAACTCCCCTCAAGGCCACGGATCTGCTGCTGGGCTTCAGGGAGGCTGTTCCCACAGAACACTTCAGTGATTCCTTCTAGCTGTGGCTGTTCTAGAACCTTCTTTGAATGGAGTGGGCAAAAAGGGATCAGAGCAGCAATGTGTCAGACATCTCTGAGAGTGGACACAGCTGAGGTCCGTGAATAGAGTCGAGTCGTGAGATGTGGGGGCAGTGGCTGTGGTGGCCAAAGGGCTGGTTCTGTGGAGGTCATCCCACCCTTCCCCATGACAAGGTGCCACCAGCTCCCTGAAGGTCAGGAAGATGTGATTGTACCAGAAGAAATGGCATTACACTCTCTGAATGAGATTTCCTGGCACTGACTGCCTTCTCCATGCTCCCCTGCAGGTGGCTATGCAGCCGCCTCTGTCATGTCTGCTTTCTCTGCCTTCCTCACCCCTTGCTAAGTCTCTAAAGGAAGGACTGGGCCTCTTGAGCTTGCCATTCTCCATCTGCTGGTCTCCAGCATTTTTACACAACAGGCTCTGGTTGGTCCCTCAGGATCCCAGCTGTCCCTGTGCTCAGCCTCACTGCTGCCACCTGCTGGCCCCTCAATCCCAAATCAAGAACTCTGCTCTAATTTTAGGCACTGGACTCAGTTGTATCCCATAGGGACCCTCTTGTGGGACGATTTCTGTCCAGCAGGCTGTAATCAGTCTCCTACAGCGACAACTGCATTTCCCCCAATAGCAGTGACTGGGCTCTGAAGCCACGAGTCTTTCACAGGGAAGGGGCACTTTCTGTGGAAGATCAGGCTGGGGCTGTCCAGTGCACACATGGGGCTTTTACATACATGTGACCATGGGGAGGAGTGTCAGACTGCAGTGTTAGAACCTGGCTGCTGCTCAGGCTGTAGCACAAGTGTGCCCTGCTCCCACAGAATAAAAAAGTGTAATTTTAAAAGCTAAAACATAAATTGGGCTAGGCATGATGGTGCATGCCTTTAATTCCATCTTCGGGGAGGCAGAGCCAAAGTCAGAGGCAAACATGAGTGGATCTCAGTGAGTTTGAGGCTGTCCTGGTCTATTTATCAAGTTACAGGCCAGCAATGGCTATATAGATTTCGTCTCGTAAAAACCAAAACAAACAAAAAAGAAAGAAATTTAAGGTGGAATGTGTTCTGAGTAGTAACGCCTGAGTTTGTCCGCTGGCCTCCACATAGGGGAGCTCACACGTGCACACATGTGCAGTTGAATACAGACACAGACATGTCATGCAGGGAGACACCCATAGCTGATGTGCCCCACATGTCTACCCAGTCCTGATCCTGAGTAAACACGGTCTCTCGAGGCCAGCCTCTGTGACTCTCAGACTCCAGTCCCTGATCATGTCCCTAGCATTCAGACCCCAATTTTATACCCAGCTGTGTTTTCCCATGACAGTGATGGCAGAGAATAGACTCAACCCTTCTTACTTCTGCTGGAACCATCCAATTCCAGAAACTTCCCTCAAATAACACAGTGAAGTGCAGATGGGCCCTGACCCAGCAGACAACTCATAGATGAAAATTGTCCATCTGTCTTCCCATCTGTCACACCATCCACTTTCCCATTCCTTGAGTTTTTATCCCCAGTGGCATCTAAGAGCACCCAGAAGGAACCCAGAGTAGCTGCCTAGATTGGGTCCCGAGAGAGTTGAGGGGATGCTAGAGAGAGGGTGGAGGATGACGACCTGTGGTGTAGACAGGACACTCAGGCTGACCTAGGACATCACAGTAGCACATTTGCCCCGCCCCCATCTGAATCCTCTTTTCTCCCCTTGATGACATCAACATTGTCAGTGTTTCCCAACCTCAGTGTGAGCACCTCCCTGCACCCCTGTAGAGGGGAGCCCCAAGAAGAGACTCTATACCATGTCCTACAAGTCTAGTGAGCAGCTCGGTGACCACATCAGCCACCTACTCCTCTGGATGAAGTCTTCCAGGTTCTGCAGATAACCAAGGCAGAGGAAGGAAACACATGTCATTGGGTTTGAGGTCACATAAACTGAGAAACTCTCAATTTCCTCTTCAATTTTCTATATTGCTTAAGCCAACTATTAATAGTCAAAAATTTATTTTAGTGAATCTAAAGAAAAACTGTTTCTTTAGATTCTCTTGTCTTCAAGTTCTCTGTCTTCATGCAAACTGAACTAATGGTTGGACTGCCTCCATGACCTCTCTTTACTGTTTGGGTTTGGTTAGCTTTGGTTTGTTGGTTTCAAAACAGAGTCTATGTAACCTAGATTGGATTTAGAATCTATAGGTACTAAAAATAGCTTCCAATTCATTATCTTGCTATCTCTACTCTCAGTCATTGAGATTACAGGCTTATGCCACCATGCCCGGATTCCTCTAGTATTTGTTGTTACTGAATGGCTCTGGCTGGGGAACACAAATCCTAAAGAGTCGTAGCCCGGCTAGACCCCATGTCTGCTGCCATCCCTACAGTCATGCTCCCTGCACCCTGAGGGAATTTTATATAAATGATGTTGAGAGTACTGGTTCTGTGTAAGCCTTTGCTGTGGACCCCTTTATTGTTCCTCCTTTTTGAACAATGGAAACTGACATGGCAATTCACGTGATCATTGTAGGAACATGCATGCGGTCCCTTCTCTGTGCCCAGCTGCCTGGAGGGAGGTGATAGTGAATTAACTGTACTGTAGATGACTGGGCAGACGGTCACCATGGCAGCCTGCCTGTGTGAACACCTCAGGGATGCTCAGAGGAGACACCACCCCAGCTGCCAAAATCACTGTGACCACACCTGCTGCTGAGTTGAACCTCAGAGGCTTGGATCCAGTTACACCACAGCAGACATCTCACAGCTGCCCCAGGAGACTAGTCATGAGAAGCCTTGGTGACTTCTCCAACACCCATCCATCTTCAGCTAGTCCTATGGGGATGGGACAGTTTTCCAGTGACTCAGCAAAGGCCCCTGATTGATACACATTCGAGACATTTCATTGATGGAAAAAGATCTGCATCTCTGCAGGACTGTGATTGGTGGATCTGAATCATGCATGCCTGTCTTAGGGTTTCTATTGCTGTCAACAGACACCATGAGCATGGCAGCTCCTATGAAGGAAATAATTAATTTGGGGTGGCTTCCAGTTTCAGAGGTTTAGTCCATTATCTTCATGGTGGGAAATAGTAGCAGGCAGGCAGACATGGTGCTGGAAAAGGAGCAGAGAGTTATCCTTCTGAATCCACAGGTATCATGAAGTGAACAGTATCTACGGTAAGTGTAGCCTGAGCATTGGAGACATATAACCCACCTCCACAGTGACTCACTTCCTCCAACAAGGCCATACCTACTCCAACAAAACTATGACTCCTAATAGTGCCACTCCCTATGGGCATATGGGGGCCAACTACAGCCACACTGCCAAATGCCCATGTACCTCTTCTGGCTGTAAAAGCAGCCTGGGTTTCATTCTTATTGGTCAGTGTGGATGCTGTCCTTATGTCCCAGCATGCTCTTTGGTAGAAGATGACCCACTGACTATCAAATGTTAAGATGGGCTGGACTTGGGAAGGAAGTCTTGACCTAGGGGAGTTTCCAGAGGTCAGAACATCCACATGGCAGGAAATAAGGAAAGAGAGTGTTTGTAGTTGGGCCTGTGAGGAAAGGATACTGAATATGGGACCCAAGTAAGCCATGGTCTGTCACCTGAGGAGGAGCATGGAGAGGCCAGGGCCTGTGGCTGAGATGTCAGTGTCCAGGGAGAACAGGAGTGAGAAACAGGGTTCTCATGCAGTGGTTCTCAGTGTGGACCATGGTCCCTGCCTCTCTCAGTGTCGCTGCTCATGGACACAATCTGCTGTTCTCTAAGGTCTCACATAGGTGTTAAGAGAGACAGGATAGGCATTGCTGGGAGGAAGATATTTATTAAAAATGTTATTAACTCCACAGACAGATAGGTAACAGCAGAGTTGGGATCTCAGGACCAGAGAAGACAAACTGACAGGGTTCCGAGGAAAGGAATTCAAGTGCACATTGCAGAAGTAGGGTTCTCTTCTTGTACCTGTCCATGGACGGATGTTTCACAGCACAGGGTACCGCCCTGCTCTCTGATTTCCAGGCTTTGGTGAAGGAAGGGGTTGAAGACGCAGGATGTGTGGCCACCAAGCCTTAATTCGAATGAAATTCACCACCCTGGTGAGCGATGCTGGCCCCTGGATTTCCATTAGTTGGGGACTAACAGTGCTGTGCCTAATGAGGAGAGGACAGTTTTCTGTAGTCAGTTTTCTACTTGCCCCATTTATATCCCTCAAATGAACGCAGGTCATTGGTCTTGGCTGCAGACACCTTCTCCCACGGAGCTATCTCTCTGCTCCCCACTTTTCTTTTGTCCATTAATATGTAATTTTCAAACCCTTCATTTAAAGTAAACTTAGAAAATGCCATGACCATAATTTATCCCCTTGAAGAATCCACATTATTTTTTTATGACATGGTCTCTCATTGGCCTGGAACTCTAGACTAGCTGGACGGACAGCTCCACGCTTCTGTCTGTCTCTCTTAACAAACTTCCTCAAGCAGCCCCTCACCTGCTCCTTGGGATGACAGCTGCTCAACTGATTGGGGTTTCAGCTTTAGTCTGCTGGCCTGTAGGAGAAGAACCAGTGTCAGTGTGGCAGCCATGCTGATCCGATGTCTGCCTCTCAGCTGTTCTTTGTTCAACATTAAGGGCTGAGGACAGCAAACAGCTCTGTAGCAGCCAATCAGAGAAAGGAATGAGAGTCCCCAGGACCTGAGGCCAATCAGGGACAGGTCTGAGAGTCACCAGGACCTGAAGACAGTCCTCAACTGTCCTGCACAGCACAGCCAATCAGAGGACAGCTCTCCTGTCCACTGCCCCTTGTCCATGTCCTTCTCCTTTTGTTTCCTTCCCCTTCTTGAACTCATGTCCCTTACCTGCTCTCCCCGCTTGGCACTCACCACGCCTCCCTTTTGTCTCCCTGGAAACTGGCTCCCTGGCTTTCCCTCTGAGTGCAGGCTGCTACACCCTGAAGATTCAGTCTTAGGATTTGAATTCCAGTCAGACTTCTGCTGCCTCCCAGACTGCTGCTCTCCACCTCTCAGCTTCTCTTCTTATCCCCGGGGATGAGCCCTTTTGAAAATTAGGGCCTGCTTGTTCAAGTCTGTATTTCTGGGCTTTCCATTACACTCCACTATCCGCTCATCTCTGCTCCTGTCCTGTAGTCTTCTTTCCATGGATTTAAGTCTGATCTGAATCCAGTCTACACTTTACTTTTGTTTAACGTGTGTTCAAGATCTTGTGGAAGCCAGGTTGACCTTCAACTTTCTATGTAACTTCTTAACAGCTTGAACTCTTAATTCTGCCCCCATGTACTCCCATGTACTTCTCAATGCTGGGATTAAGGTGTTCCCTACCGTATTCCCATGTTTGTTTCTTAGAATCCTTTTGATTTTACAAGAGAAATCATTTATCTTTCCAGAAAAGCCATTTGGATTTGAATAGAGACTACATTGACTTTTTTTGCGTTGTAAAGAGTTATTGTATAAAATTTTCCATAATTCAAATGTCCTTACATATTTCAGTATTTTTCTACTTTTCATAATTTTATTTCTGTGCAGTACATATATGTATGTGCACATTTGCATACGTGCACACACATGTGGGTGGTAGAGGACAACCTTGGGTATCATCCTGCAGGAGCTGCCCACTATAGTTTTGGGGACAGGTCTGCCCTTGATGGAGGTTCGCTGGTTGGGCAAGCCTGACACCATAGTTAGCCTCATGGATCCTACTGCACCTTTCTGTCCAGTATCTGCTGACGTAGTCAACTTTATCTGTGAACCCTAAGGATGGTACCCATTTTTTTGTGTTTATGGGTGAACACTTCACCAACTGATCTGTCTCCTGGCTTCTCTGCCATTTTTCTCAGCAGTGTTTAGTTTTTAGAGTACAAATTGTTCACCTCTCTTAGTGTAGGTTCTCCCAGACATGTTCTTTTCACCTGTGGGTTATTGCACACCATGTCCTCCTTTTGTATAGATACCATATTCCCAACGCAAACATATCTCTCTCTTCACGGTCGCATCTCCTGTGAGATGCTGTCCCTGAAGGCTGCTCTACCTCAGACCTTGATTAGCAGCCACAGCTCTTTCCAAATGAGCAGTTAGCCCCTGGGGCTCCTGCGGGCCCCTTGAATTCCTTAGGAGCAGGCTGTGTTCATCTGCACTTGATCCTCTAATTTCCAGCTGGGACTCTAAGGAATTAGGAGCAGATTCAGTCCTGGTTGAGTTCAATTCCTTTCTGTCCTCGTGTTCTCTGGACCCTGTCCCACACGTTTCCTGTGATGGCTGTTCTTGTCAACTGGACTGAATCGGGAATGAGCTATAATCCAGTAATGAAGGGTCACACTTGTGATCTGGATCTTGAGGGAGGAAGACAGCATGCCTTTGATCCAGACCACGAGGCTGGAAGGCACTTTTCACCTGGGCCACACCTTCTGTTTTAAGCTGGTGCAAGGACAAGGGAAGCTGGAAGGGTGTCCTTCATCTGCCAGCACTCACCTCCGTCATCACATTTATTTCCATAGTCAAAATTCCAGCAGAGCAGCTGAGACATCAGCCTCGTGGGACTGAGAAGCTACTGGCTCCTTGGTCTTTCCATTCACAATTAGTCATTGTTGTATGGCAGCCATAAGTCATTCCAATAAATTCCCATATATTCATTATATTCAAAAATATATTTCACTATATATTTATACGTATATTCATTCCATAAATTCTGTGAGCCTAGAGAACCCTAATACACTTACCAATCTCCATGTCCCACAACTGACAAAACTCAGAGGTAAGCTCAGGTGAGAGCCTGTCCTGGTCCACTCACCTTTTCTTCCACCAGAGGAAGATCAGCATCACACAGACGGGGGTTATGAGCACAGCCGTGGCCACCACCACCCCACTCGTGGCTCCTATGTTCACAAGTGAAGGATTCCTCTGGCCCTCTGTGTCCTCCAGGCCAGCTGTGGTGTCTGCAGAGGTGACGTTGAAGGGGCTCTGCATGGTGGTGCTGACTGTTGGGGAGAGATGAGGAATGAGCAGGGATGAGGAAGGATGGGGGTGAGTGTCACATCTGTCTCCTCTGTGGGAGTTGGGATGGGGAGCAGCTGTTAGAAGTTCACAGAGGGGAACACATGCTGAAGGCTGAGACTCCAGGAGAGCAAGCTCAGTGCACACCCTCCACCTGTCCTGGCTGTGTGTCCTCAGATTTACATTTAGTCACAGATAATTAAGTCATAGAAATACAGTTGTTTTGGTCATAAATGCATGGAACAAGCAGATGTCTCAGTCTGTATCATGATTGCTCTCAGGAAATTTAGACCCCGAGTTTGATCCCTAGAATCCATTTGAAGAGCCTGGTGAGCTGGGCATGACCTTTAATCTTAGCCCTAGAGGCAAAGGCAGGCAGATCTATGTGAGTTAAAGCCAGCCTCTCTATGTATATTTAGTTCCACACCAAACAGTGTTGAGTGAGTTGTGTCCCAGTAAAAGGAGGTGGAGACAGGCATGTCCCTGGGGCTCGCTGGTTAGTCAGCTTAGTCTATTTGGCAAACTTGAAGCTAGTGAGTGACCCTGTCTCAGAAAATAAGGGAATGGCTCCTGAGTGTTTCCTCTAGCCTCTGAATGCATATGAAGAATTGTCAGTGCTTGGGGAACAGAAGCCAGGGGTAAATGCAGTCCCAGAAGCCAACCCAGTCCTGAGACACTGGCAGACCAGTATTGAGCCACCAATCCTATTCAGAGCTAGCAATCTCCATCAGAACTGGAGTGGGACAAACCAGCTACCTAGGACAGAGAGCAAATAGCTCCACCTGGAGAAGAAGCCAGAAGTAAATCCAGTTCCTGGAGCCAACCCAGTCCCGGGACACTGGTGGATCAGGTTTGAGCCAGCGACCAGATCCAGAGTCAGCCATCTTCACCAGAACAGGTTGAAGTCCAAGCTAGGGACCTCTGCATGAGGAGATCCAGGCCAGGATTTACTGAAACAGTGCAAAGCTGGCAACCTAGGCCAAAGTAGGCCTGAGACAGCAAACTCCAAGGAAGCACAGCAAAGCACAGGAACACTGAGCTATCTCCAGGAACACAGAGTAACCAATGGGGTAACTAGAACTGTGAAACTGACTTACAACAAGGAATAACCATCTGAGGTTTGGATTCACTGGCACTCAGAAGATTATTCAACAGAATCTTAGACATCCCCAACCACACCTATTAGAGGAAAAGAAGAATAGAAAAGGTAAGATTACATACTACACCACAAGAGCAACACAACACCAGTAAAACCTAAAGACCCCTCAACAACAATATTTGAACAACCAAAAATGGATGATCCGGAAGTAGATGACCTAAAAAATAACTTCAAGAGAATATTTGAAATTCTTAAAGATAAAATGAGATATTCCCTTAAAGAAATTGAGGAAAAGACAAAGAAAAAATTGGAGGATATCAGCAAATCACTTAAAGAAACCCAAGAAAAAGAAATTAAACATATAAAAGAAACCATTCAGGACGTGAAAACTGAAATAGAAACAATAAAGAAAACACAAGCCAAAGGAATTATAGAAACAGAAATCATGAGAAAAAGATCACAAACGCAAGCATGAACAGCAGAATACAAGAGATGGAAGAGAGAATCTCAAGCGCTGAAGATACAACAGAGAAAATAGACTCATCAGTTAAAGAAAACATTAAATCTAACAAAAGCTGAACCCAAAATATCTAGGAAATATGGGACACCACTAAAAGGCCAAATCCTAGAATAATAGGTATAGAAGGAGAAGAAATTCAACTCAAAGGCACAGAAAATTTATTTAACAGAATCATAGAAGAAAACTTTCCCTACCTAAAGAAAGATAAGCCTGTGAAGATACAAGAAGCTTAGATAACACCAAATAGACTGGATCTAAAAATAAAGTCCTCTGGCCACATAATAATCAAAACACTAAACATACAGAGTAAAGAAAGAATCTTAAGAACTGCAAAGGAAAAAGGCCAAGTAACATATAGAGGTAGAACTATCAGAATTACACCTGACTTCTCAGTGGAGACGATGAAAGCCAGAAGGTCATGGTCAAGTGTTACACAGGCATTAGGAGACCATGGATGCCAGCCCAGACTGCTATACCCAGCAAAAAATAGAATGACAAAACAAGATAATCCATGACAAATCTAGATTTCACCAATACCTAGCCACAAATCCAGCCCTACACAAAATACTAGAAGGAAACTCCAAACCAAGGAAGATGGCTACACCAACAAAAACACAGACAATTGATGATCTCATCACAGCAAATCCCAAAGAAGGAAAAATGCACAAATTAACATCACCAACGATTGAAAACTAAATTAACAGGAGATAGAAATTACTGGTCATTTATATCCCTTAATATAAATGGACTCAGCTCACCTATAAGAAGGCACAGACTAACAGATTGGATATGAAAACAGAATCCATCCTTCTTCTGCATACAAGAAATACATCTCAACCTCAAAGACAGACATTGTCTCAGAGTAAAGGGTTGGGAAAAATATACCAATCAAATGGAACTAAGAAACAAACACGTGTAGCTACCCTAATATCTAACAAAATAGACTGCAAGATAAAATCAGTCAAAAGAGACAAAGGTCATTTCATATTAGTTTCAGGAAAAATCCATCACGAGAAAATTTAAATACTGAACATCTATGCCCAAAATATAAGGGCACCCTAATATGTGAAAGAAACACTTATAAAGCTTAAATCATATATTAAACCCCACAAACTAAAAGTGGAAGACTTCAACATTCCCCTCTCACCACTGGACAGGTCAGTCAGAAAAAAAATGAACAGAGAAATAAGAGAACTAACAGATGTTATGACTCAAATGGACTTAACAGACATCTATAGAATATTCCATCCAAACAGAAAAGAATATACCTTCTTCTCAGCTCCTCATGGAACCTTCTCAAAAACTGACCACATACTCAGTAACAAAACAAACCTCAACAAACACAAAAAATTTTGGAATAACCCAATGTACCTTATCAGATCATCATGGTATCAAACTAGAAGTCATCAGCAATACTAATTCCAGAAAACCCACAAACACATGGAAATTAAACAATGCTCACCAGAATCATCAATGGGTCAAGGAAGAATTAAAGGGAGAAACTAAAGACTTCCTAAAGTTCAATGAAAATGACCACACAACATACCCAAATTTATGGGACACAATGATAGCAGTGTTAAGAGGCAAGTTTATAGCACGTCATGCCTACAAAAAGAAGCTGAAAAGATCTCACAGTAGTGAATTAACAGAACATTTGAAAACTTTAGAACAAAAAGAAGCAAACTCACCTAAAAAAAAACTAGAGGGCATTAAATAATCATATGGAGACCTGAAATCAACAAAATAGAAAACAATACAAATAATCAATGAGACAAAGAGCTGGTTCTTTGAGAAAATCAACAAAATAAACAAACCTTTATCCAAACTAACCAAAATGCAGAGAGAGAACATCCAAATTAACAAAATCAGAAATACTACCACTACCACCAAAAAAAAAAAAAAAACCGGAGTTTACAAACACTGGTCATTAATATCACTTAGTATCAATGGGCTCAATTCACCTATAAAAAGGCACAGGTTAAGAGAATGGATACAAAAATAGGATCCAACATTCTTCTGTTTACAAGAAACACACCTTATCCACAAAGACAGACATTACCTCAGAGTGAAGGGTTGGGAAAAGGTTTTTCAATCAAAAGGACCTAAGAAACAAGCGGGTGTGCCTATACCAATATCTAACAAAATTGACTTCAAACTAAAATCAAAAAATGTAGAGCTCAATAAAAATCAACAAAAAGGAATTGTCAACACTTTCACACACACAGACACACACACAGACACACACACACACCTAAATTAACAGACCCTCATGATCACACATACAATATGCACAAAAGGTATAACAGAAAATATATAATTTTGATCCTAGCTGTCCACCTCAGTACAGGGCAGCATACATTCATCCGCTCTGCAATCCTCACTAAGGTCAGTTTCCACTTTTATCTGTTTGGAAACACTAGACCACCAGTTCCCAGACTGGGGTTGGCTACCCCCCCACCAGTGGTAGAATATGATATAACAAGCAATCAGATATATACAGTATGATTCATAACAGTAGCAAAATTATAGGTATGAAGTAGCAATGAAAATAATTTTATGGTGGGGGGGGGTCACCACAACAAGGTGAGTTGTATTAAAGGGTCTTTTCATTAAGAAGGCTGAAAATCTAGGCCCAAGAAGCATCTCCTTTCTCTTCCATCCCTGAGCCCTGGCAGCTGTGGTTAGACATTACATCAGGCCAACATGGCGGCCGTAGAGACTGCACAAGAACTGTGCTGTGGGCGTCCTCTCACAGGTTGGCTTTAATCCAGTCAACAGCCACTGCTGGATGTGTGGCACAGGCCTTTATCTCAGCACTCGGGAGACAGAGATAGGCAGATTTCTGTGAGTTCCATAACAACCAGCACTAAATGGTGAGATCCTGTCTTATAAAAACCAAAAGACCAACATATTAAAAAAAAGAGCAGCAGAGCAAAGTTGTGATCAACAAGGAAGCACACAGAGTCCCCAGCTCCTGCAGGGCCATTTAAAGGGTGCAGGGGTAATAGAAACATAATTTTCCACACAGTGTTCCCAGTGCATGGGTCTTCAGTTACTTCTGCTTCAGCGGAGAGGCAGAAGACAGAGCAGCCACATCATAAAAATGGAGACTTTAGTTCCCAAGACCCTTGGGCCTGTGTATGAGAGGCTGAGGGCTGGAGAGTAAGGAAGGAGAGAGGGGAGTTGGGAAATGGAGATTTATATAATGGAGTTGTTGGGAGAAATCCTACAGAGCTACACCTGGTTTGATTCCAGAGTATTGTAATCTAGCCTTAATCTGCCTTTTATGACTGCTACACTTTGTCTCCTGTGCCCTTTATATGATTTTTGCCTGAGAATTTTCTGAAGGTGCAAAGCCTATGCAAACTTGGTTGAAGCAGTGCTCAGAACACCTCAGGTATTCTTCATCTGAGGATTTGGTCAGCTTAGATGGGAGGTGTTGGGCTGTGAAAATCAACTTGCTAAAAGATGTAAGTTGGAGAACAATAAAAGGGTCCTTCCCTAAGCTACAGGGGTTCAATCTGAAGACAGGCAACCCCTGCAGCTAAAAGCATTAGAATCATCCTTGAGGTACCTTATCTCTTGATTTCCTGAACCAGAGAGTGGATAGGGATAGGTGTCCTGGGAGCTAGGATGAGACACAGGGGACTGTGGTGACAGATGGCAGTTAACAGTTGGATTGTAGGACACCTACTGCTGATCTGGCCTTAGCTTTGAGCTGTGTGGAGATGCTCCATATGGGGACCAACTGGAGCCCTGACACAGGACCAAGTGAGTCAGCTACATCCTGGAGATATCAACCCACCTCGAGATCTCAGGGAAAGGGAAAGTGACCAGGACTGCAGTGTTAGTTTGGACAGAAAGGGGATGAACTAGAGGAAAGGCCTCATGCTGAGATATAGAGTGAGTTGGGGTTCCATCTGAGCAGAGGATGACAGACAAGGTCAGAGGACACAGCAAAGACTTGTCACAACCACAATGGAAAGATCCTGTTCACAGAGTTCTGGGCAAAGCCAAGGAAAAGGAATATGAAACCAATGTCAGAATTCTGGAGTCTGAGGTGACATCAGGAGACAAGGAAGCCAGAGGCATCAAAGACTGAGCAAAGGTGGCTCACCACGAGTGATGGTGATTTGGGTCCCATAAATAGACTGCACCATCTCCATGCCTTTTGTCGTTTTCAGATGAACTCGGCAAAAGTACACTGTCTGGTCCTTCTCCTTCAAGTCCAGGATTCTGAGGACTCCGGATGTTTGAGGCTGCGTCCAGTTCAGGATGAGTCGGTCCTTGAAATGCTCATGGATGAAACCTGAGGAGGAGTTGTAGATCAATTCCCCATGGAAATACTTCCATCTCCAAAGAATCGTCATCTGTGGATCCTTCGCCAACTTCCAGGGGAAGTAGAAGGAGAAGGGGATCTCGATGGAGGCGCCCTGGACACCAGAGAGGCGTGCTGGTTGGTTAACACCAAAGGTATTTACTCTGTTGGATCCTGCTGAGTTCCCTGGGAAGGTTGGGGAAATTTTATGTCTCTACAGGACTTGGAGAGGACAACCCAGAGCTTCCTGAGCTGTCATCCACAGACAGCTATGTGACATAGGGCAAGACTGTCCCTTGTCTCACTGTCCCATATAGGACAGGAAAGACAGAGAAAGGCTGGGTTGGGCCCACTCTTAGGATGAGCTCTCTTTGGGGGCACAGAGGATAGGGTGGATCCTCTAGACACCTATCCACGTGACAGCTCACTCTTCCCAGCTTCACTGGCCCCTCCTCTGGTTAAGGTAGAGTCCCTGCTTGCAAGGTCCCCCCACTCACCAGCTTGCAGGCACAATGTTGGCAGCAACAGAAACAGGACCCAAGTCATGGCCTGGTTCTCTCCAGGAAGTGAGACCAGCAGAGTCATCAGGTGGGAGAACAAGTTCTCTGGAGGGTCCCTGGGGTGGTCCGGAGTCAGGAAACAATCAAGACAAAAATGATCCCCATCCCCTGGTCCGTATGTGGAGGACTGAGTGTGGGCAGGACCTTCCTATCTCCACCTCCTTGAGATCAGCAACTTCCTTTATTATTCTGGCTTCTTCTTTTCTTTGTTGCAGAAGATCTGCCCTTGTGGTCACTGAGAAGATGACTGTGCCCTTGAGCCCAGTCCCCATTTTGGGCTGGAAGATACAGCCTTGACCTCTGCATGCTGGCTCTTCTCTCTTCCACCTTGACCTCTTTCTTCTCCATTCTTTTCCATTCCCTATGCAGCCTGTAATCACTGCTTCCTCATGTCCTGTTTCCTCCACTCCTGCCCTCCCCTCAGTCTGTTTCTCATTACGTCCCCCATCATGTTGGTTGTCTGTGTGTCTGCCTCTCTATCTCTCTCTCATAATCTCAGATAAAGAAGTGGTCATCTTCTGATCATTTCAGACACCATGAGGCAGGAGGTGATGAGGAAACACATTCAGTCCCCAGCCCTAGCATGATGGCTCCACCCTCATCTGCTCTTGGCCCTCTTCGTGTCTTTTGGGTGCTCTTCATAGCACCCCAGGAAAACCAATGCCCAGTGAACAGTCTCCCCTGAGCTAATCGCTGCTGCGAATCTGTAACTTCCCTGGGCTGCCTGCGTGATCTTCCCCCTCCACTCCAGAGCTACTCCTGTTTCTGAAGGAGCCTTCCTGCCTTTTTACCAACCTTAACACACACTCAGAAGAGGAAACCAAGGATCAGAGAAGCCCTGGCACATGTCACATGACTGGCACACAGCAGGTGACTGGACTTCAGTCCCATCGAGTTCTTGTAGTCTCACTCTCCACACTGACTTCCGGCTGACTGCTCGGTGCAGTCTCTGAGCTCCCCTCAAAGGCCACAGATCTGCTCCTAGGTTCTGGGAGGCTGTTTGCACAGAGCATTTGAGTGACTTCCTCTAGCTGTGGCTGTTCTAGAACCTCCTTTGAACAAAGTGGACAAGGAAGGCTCAGAGTAGTAATAAGTCTGTCACTCATGACATATCACCTGGGACATCTCGGAGAGTGGATACAACTAGTCCGTGATAAGAATGAATTCATGAGAGGTGGAGGCAGAAGCTGTGGTGGCCACAGGAATGGTTCTGTGGAGGGTCATCTCACCCTTCCCCATGACAAGGTGTCATCATTTCCGCAAAGGGCAGGAAGATGTGGTTTTACCAGAGGAAGTGGCATCATTCTCCTGGAGTGACATGGGCAGAGGTGACTTCCATTCCCTTAGATTTCCTGGCATTGACTGCCTTCTCCATGCTCCCTCAGGTGACTGTGCAGCTGCCCTCTGTCATGTCTGCTTTCTCTGCCTTCCTCACAGTCCCCATGGTCCTCTGATCCCTTGACGTGAGCCAGGCACAAACTCTCATGGCCTCACTGCCAGCTGCACATGGACTCACTTTTTTATTTTAGATTTTTAATCATTTTACACACCAACCACAGTTCCCACTCCCTCCTTTCCTAACTCCCACTCCATCCCCAGCTACTCCCAGAAAGGGCAAGACTTCCCATGGAGAGTCAGCTAAGCCTGGCCCATCAAGTTTAGATAGGAACAAGCTCCTTTCTTCTTCATCAAGACTGAACAAGGCATCCACCACCGAGAATGGGCTCCAAAATGCCAGATCCTGCTCCCACTGCCAGGGATCCCATGAACACACCAAGCCACACAACTGTCAGCCACATGCAGAAGGTCTAGTTCTGTCCCCTGCAGGCTCCCCAGCAGTTGGTCCAGAGTCCCTGAAGTCTCGTGAGCTTTGTTCATCTGTCTCTGTGGTTTTCCCCATCATGATCTTGATCCCCCTTGCTCATGTGATCCCTCCTCCCTCTCCTTGATTGGACTCCCAGAACCATGCCCAGTGTTTGTCTATGGATCTCTGTATCTCCTTCCAGCAGTTACTGGATGCAGGTTCTACATGACAATTAGAGTAGTCATCTAATCATCTAATTACAGGAGAAGGCCAGTTCAGGCACCCTCTCCACTGTTGCTAAGAATCTTAGCTGTGGTCATCCTTGTGGATTCTTGGGAATTTCCCTAGCACCAGGTTTCTCCCTAACCCCATAATGGCTTCCTCTTTCAGGATATTTTTTCATTGTTTCCCCCATCTCTTTCCCCAAAGTGCCCATCACGTTCCTTCATGCCCTCATATCCCATACCTTCCTTCTTTCCCCTCTGCTCCCAGTTTACCCAGGAGATCTCATCTACTTCCCCTTCATAGGGCGTTCCTTGTGTCTCTCTTAGGGTCCTTATTGTTACTTAGTTCCCCTGGGGTTGTGGATTGTAGCCTGATTACCTTTTGCTTTTTCAACTAATAACTACTTATGAGTGAGCACATACCATGTTGTCTCTCTGAGTTTTGTTTACCTCACTCAGGATGATTTTTTTCCCTAGTTTTATTCATTTACCTCTCAATTTGATGTTGTCATTGTTTTTTACAGCATTGTAATGTTCCATTGTGTAGAAGAACCATATCTTATCTATCCATTCTTCAGCTGAGAGGCATCTAAGTTGTTTCCAGGTTGTGGCTATTATCAATAATGCTGCTATGAACATAGCTGAGCAAGTGTCCTTGTGATATGATTGAGCAACCTTTGGGTATATGCCCAAGAGCAGTATAGCTGGGTCTTGAGGTAGATTGATTCCCAATTTTCTGAGAAAACACCCTGGTGTTTTTCAAAGAGACTATACATGTTTGCACTCCCACCAGCAGTGGAGCAGTGTTCCCTTTACTCCACATCCTCTCCAACATAAGCAAGCTTTCATTAGGTTTTTTTTTTTTTTTTTTTTTTTTTTTTTTTTTTTTTTTTTTTTTTGGTCTTTGTCATTCTGTCAGGTGTAAGATGGTATCTCAGAGTCATTCTGATTTGCATTTCCCTAATGACTAAGAATGTTAAACAATTCCTTCAGTGTGTTTCAGCATTTGAGATTCTTCCGCTGTGAATTACCTCTTTAGATCTGTACCCCATTTTTGTTTTTTAGTTTTTAATTGTTTTTATTAAGCTATATCCTTTTCTCCACTTCCCTCCCTTCCTCTTCCCACCCCTTCTACCCTCTCCTATGTTCCCCATGCTCCCATTTACTTATGAGATCTTGTCTTTTTCTACTTTCCATGTAGATTAGATTCATGTATGTCTCTTTAGGGTCCTTTTTGTTATCTATGTTCTCTGGGATTGTGAATTGTAGGCTGGTTTTCCTTTGCTTTATGTCTAAAAGCCACTTATGAGTTAGTACATATGGCATTTGTCTTTCTGGGTCTGGGTTACTGGTGTGGGAGGTCCTTCTGTATTTGTGTTGCTTTCATTGGTTAATAAAGAAACTGCTTTGGGCCTGGTGATAGGCCGGAACTTAGGTAGGCAGGGAAACAGAACTGAATTCTGGGAGGAAGAAAGCAGAGTCAGAAAGCTGTCATGGAGACACCAGGTCAGATATGCTAAATCTTTCCCAGTAAGCCAAGACCTCATGGTGAACACAGATTAATAGAAATGGGTTAAATCGAGATGTGAGAGTTATCCAATAAAAGGCTATAGCTAATGGCCAAGCAGTGTTTTAATTAATACAGTTTCTGTGTGATTATTTCGGGTGTAAACTACTGGGCGGCCAGAACAGTGGGCCCCGCTCCCTGTAACAGATTACCTCACTCAGTATGATGTTTTCTAGATTCATTCATTTGCCTGCAAATTTCAAGATGTCATTATTTTTTCTGCTGTGTAGTACTCCATTGTGTAAATGTACCACATTTTCCTTATCCATTCTTTGATTGAGGGGCATGTAGGTTGTTTGCAGGTTCTGGCTATGACAAACAATGCTGTTATGAACATAGTTGAGCACATGTCCTTGTGATATGATTGAGCATCCGTTGGGCATATGCCCAAAAGTGGTATTATTGGGTCTTGAGGTAGGTTGTTTCCTAATTTTCTGAGAAATCACCACATTGACATCTAAAGGGGCTGTACCAGTTTGCACTCCCACCAGCAATTCAGGAGTTCTCCCTTTACCCCACAACCTCTCCAGCATAAGTTGTCATCAGTGTTTTTGATCTTGGCATTTCTTACAGGTGTAAGATGTTTGTACCCCCATTTTAAAATTGGATTATTTGGTATTTTGATGTCTAGTTTCTTGAGTTCCTTATATATTTTGGAGTTCAGCTCTCTGTCAGATGTGGGTTTGGTGAAGATCTTTTCCTGTTCTTGTAGACTGCTGTTTTGTTTTATTGACCATGCTCTTTGCCTTACAGAAGCTTTTCAGTTTCAAGAGGTTTTACTTATTGAATGTTGCTCTCAGTGTCTGTGGTACTAGAGTTATATTTAGAAAGTGGCCTCCTGTGCCCATGCATTCAAGGCTACTTCCCACTTTCTCTTCTATTAGATTTGGTGTAATGGATTTATGTGAGGTCTTTGATCTACTTGGACTTGAGTTTTGTTCATGGCAATAGATATGTATCTATTTGCATTCTTTTATATGTCAACATACAGTTCTGCCAGCATCATTTGTTGAAGATGCAGTCTTTTTCCTATTGTTCGATTTTGGCGTCTCTGTCAAATATCAGGTGTTTATAGTTATGTGAATTAATGTCTGGATCATCAATTCGATTCCATTGGTCCACAGGAAACACTTTTTTATCCATTCATCCTGCCCTTGAAGACGAAGAGGCACAGCATCTTTGGGATGAGTTGACTCCAGATGATTAGTAATGAGAGTGGACAGGCCCTACTGTACCTGTCTGAAAGCTGCTCCCTTTATTGAATGGGGTTTTCTTTAGCCCAGGCTGGGCCTTGAACTTGTTATATAACTCCTACAGATCCTCCTCTCTGCTCTCCCATGTGCAGGGTGACAGGTGTGCCCATATTGTGCCCGTTTTTTTCCTGCTGGAGATAGAACCTAGGGTTCTGTGCATGCCAGGCAGGTAAGCACTCCACCAGATGGATCTTGTCTTTAGCCTCAGTGGGGTCTGAGAGGGGCCCTCACGGTCATGATACTCATATCCAGACTTCATCTGCCCTTGCCCTACTGTCTGGGGTCTGTGGGAAAGGTCACCCGATTGCTAAGTCACCCAAGAAGGTACTGACTTCACTAGACCTGACACAGTCAACTGTTGAAGCACAGGGATTTTCACTCATTGACTCTGATGGGATCCACAGGGTGCCAGCTGCTTCATGTGCTCAACCTCACTGCTGCCACCTGCTGGGTCCTAAAACCAAGTCATGGGCTCTGTTCTAGTTTGAATTCCTAGGCAGATGAATCCCCATAAGGGCACTGCTGTAGGACGTGATTTCTGTCCAGGATGCTGTAATCAGTCTTCTGCAACGCCATTCCTATTTCACTCACAGCTGTGTACGGGTCAGGGTTCTAAAGAATCACAGAATTCATGGAATGAATCTCTCTCTTTCTCTTTGTCTCTCTTATCTCTGTCTCTGTCTCCCTCCTTCTCTCTCTCTATCTCTCTCTCTCTCACACACACACACACACAAATTGAACAAACAAAACAACAACCAAACAAATAAAAAATCCAAAGTCAAAAGAAACAAACAATGAAACAAAAACCTAAAAAAAACCCACAAAGTAGATGGTGCCCTGAGTAGTATTGCCTGAGGTTGACCCCTGACCTCTACATACATGAGCACATACTTAGTTGCACCCACACACACCTGTACAAGGACATACAAATCACTGAAGTCACCTTACACTGTGGTTCTGCACCTCGTGTATATCCAGTTCTCATCCTCAGTAAGCATGCCCGCCCTCCCCCCAGCGTAGCCTCCGTGACTCTTCAGTATCCAGTTCCTGATAGTGTCCTTAGCATTCAGACTCTGATTTTATACCCAGCTGTGTTTTCCCACGACACTGGTGGCAGAGAACAGGCTCAGCCTTCCTGTATCTGTCAGAATCATTCTATTCCAGAAACTTCCCTCAAATAACACACAGTGCAAGCCCTGTGTGCCCTGACCCAGCAGATAACCTCCTTGATGAAACTGTCCATCTGTCCACTGTCCTGTCAAACACAGACCCTGATGTCTGTGTGGCCACTGCTTTACTGACTGAATCATCTCTCCAGCTTCATTGCATGCGTCTTACAACAAACCTCCCCAGCCACCTGTGTTAGTCAAAGTTCCATTGCTGTAAACAGACACCATGACCACAGCAACTCTTATGAAGGAAAGCATTTAATTGTGGCTGGCTTACAGTTTCAAAGTATAACCCATCATCGTCATGAAGGGAAGCACAGAGTCATGCAGGCAGACCTGGTGCTGGAGAAGAAGCTAAGAGTTCTACATCCACATTGACAGGCAGTGGAGAGACACTGGACAGGCTTGAGCACTTGAAATACCAAATCCCACTCCGAGTGACCTAATTCTGCTTTCATTGCCCTGCCTATTCCCACAAGGCTACACTTTTATGTGCCACTCCCTGGTGAGAAAACATACAAATCCTTGAGCCTATGGGTGCCAGTCTTATTCAAACCCCTAAATAGCTCCTCATGAGGTCCTTGCGATGACAAGTGCTGACATAGCTGAGGTTTGGCTTTAGTCTGCTGGCCTGTAGGAGAAGAACCAGTGTCAGTGTGGCAGCCATGTTGATCCTCTGTCTGCCTCTCAGCTGATCTCTGTGTTCAGACAACATTAGGGGCCCAGGGTAGCATAATGCTCTGAATCAGCCAATCAGGGACAGGACTGAGAGTCCCCCAGGGACCTGAAGCCTTTCCTCAGCTGTCCTTTGCACAGCACAGCCAATCAGAGGAGAGCTCTCCTGTCCACTGCCCCTTGTTCATTACCCTGACTGACCTCGTGTCCCCTCCCTGCTTTCCCTGTTCTGCACTCTCCACGCCTCCTTTTGTCTCCCTGGAACCTGGGTCTCCCACCTCTCAGCTGCTCCTCTTACCTTTGGAGGGCTGAGCCCTTTGAAAACCCGGGCACTTCCCATATGTGATTATCCTTTCAGATGCTTTAAACATAAGAATTCAGAAATCTGGGTGGTAAGACGTCAGGACAGGCTGACTCAACGGGACTCTCAACTTTGTCCTTTGTTCTCTTTGGCCCTAAAGAAATTTAAGACTCCTGAATGCAAGGCCTCAGCTAGCAACTTCCCTGAGGAGAAGGAATTAAAGTTGCATCAGAGTGCCCTACCCCACCAGCTTGGCATGGGGCTTCTCCTTCGGGAAAGAAAGGTCCTGGACCGCAGGAGTCCCTGACACAGGAGGCAGCAAGTTTCTCCCCTGAAGATGATGGTTCCAGCGGCCTGGAGTTGGAGCAACTCATGGAAGACATTGGAGAGCCAGAGGAGAGGGGGGACTCGCAGCAGAGGGACGGCTCTGAGGAGTTCCTGGCGGCCCTTTTTGAGGAGTAGCGTGCTCTGGTCCTCCTACTGCTGTCTGTCTCTTAGCGTTCTTGAGCAGCTGATGAATGTCAGGGCTGTTGACCTGTCAACTGGTTCTATTCAGAGCTGTGCAGCCCGTGTCAATAAAGCAGGTCTCTGGGCTACTGCTGAGGTGTGCTTCCTTTCCTGTCTCTATGGCAGACTGCCTGCTCTGGAGGGGACAGGAGGCTGGAGACAGCAGCAAGACCCAGACCTGGGGAACATTCAGGACAGCGTGTGTGTGAGTCCTGGCTCTCCTTCCTGGGAGCGACTTGACCTTTGGAAAGCACCGTGACCATCTGGTGTTCAGTTCCCTGTCTCACACCATCTCTCTAGGGCTACTGCTGATGTCCTGTGAGGTGGTGCATGGGGACCAGTCGCAGTGTATGCTGGTTATTACACTCACAGATGTGGGTGCACATCGTGTGGACAGCTGCCAGCTTTTGGGGCATGCCCTGCCTTGGGAAACTAGAAAAGAGTGATGGGGGGATGGGGTTTCTGAGAGGGCCCACTACTAATGACCCTTAATTAGATTCATTTAGGCAAATTTTGTGGATCTTTTTATTTGTATGAAAGAGGCCTAGGAAGCTAAAACAGGAAACTGAGTTTCTCAGTTTCTCTGAGTTCAAATCCCTGACTCTGAATTTCTGTCCTGGCCATGGGTATCTGTGACCTGTGAGCATCTGACTGTGGGTATCAGAGGAAGCTGGGAGTCTTCCTACTAGAAGCAAAGGTGACTCTGGGATGGTTACCCAGACCTGCTCATTTGGTCTTTACGGTGGAGTATACAGTCTCTTCCTGGGGGTTCTCATGGACAGGCGGGCAGCCTGGTGTTCCTGGGGAGGTTGGGCTTGAGAAGGCAATGGAGGCATACACGATGTTGTTGTCCTGCGGGGGTAGGGACAGGGCATTAGATAACAGCAGTGCAGCTGAGGCTCCATAAAGCAGCAGCTGCAGCCTGAGGGTCCCCCCCCACCTCTGACCTATAACCTTCTGTCTCCATCAACACCCCTTAACTCCTTTAGACCTGAGTCAGAATCGCTTACCTTGGGGATCTCTTTGGGGTCCATAAGTAGTCCTAGAGAAAAGGAACACATAGTTCTGAAGTCAAGGTGTGTGACAAGAAGGGAGACAGATGGCTGGGAGTTCCAAGCATGAGGTGAGGACCTTGGTTACATGGGAGGGACAGGGTGAGGGAGGGACAGGGTGAGGGAGGGACAGGGTGAGAGAGGGACAGACAAAAACACTGAGGGAATGCTTGTGTAAGTGCGGGGTCTTGGGAGAAGAAGGCAGAGCCAAGTGTGGAACAGGAAACTGGCAGAATTTACCTTCGAGCTCAACTTGCTCACATTTCTCAATGTTTTCAATGAGTTCCCTACATGAGAACAAGATGGGCAACAGATTAGAGGCTGGACAAGAAAGAATTAAGACATTAGGTGCTGGGCTGGAGAGATGACCCAGTTAGTAACGTGCTTGTCACATAAACATGCCGTCCTGACTTCAGACCCAACACCTACAAAGCTAGGTGCTGGAGAAGCAGAGACAGGCAGAGAAGTCCCTGCAGTTCACAGGCCATCCTGGACTAACTGATGAGCTCTAGATTCAGTGAAAGACCCTGTCTCAGAAGATGAAGTGGAGGCTGGAGAGATGGTTCAGTTGGCAAAGGGCCTGCTTCCCAAACATGAAGACCCAAATTTAGATCCCCAAGGACCCATGTAAACTATGCTGGACACAGCCAAACAGTGATATCACACGCCTTTAAACCCAGCACTCAGGAAGCAGAGGCATGTGGAACTCTGTGAGTTTGAGGCCAGCCTGGTCTACTCTGTGAGTTCCAGGACAGCCAGGGATGTTTACACAGAGAAACCCTGTCTCAAAAAAACCAAATCAAACCAAACCAACAACAAAATGCTCTGGGCACAATGTGTCTGTAGGGTGGGGGTGGAGATGGGTGGATCCCTGAAGCTGTTGTCTGGGCTGCCCAGGCAAACTGATGATCTTCAGTTAGTGAGAGACCTTACTATAAAGGTCTCAAAATAAATATTAAATAAAGGTTAGAGAAACTGAGGAGAATCATAACATAGACCTCTGGCCTCCACATACATGCACAAGTGCACACACAAACACAACATACATGCAGGAATCCTACATGGAGTGGACAACAGCTGAGGAAAACACACCATTGATATCTGCGTTCTAAACACATGGTCACATGTATGTGTGTGTGTGTATGTGTGTATATGTAGGTATGTACGTATGTATGTATAGTGAATGCTTATATTCTCAGTGCTCAGGAAGTGGAGATAGGGGGACTCCTGATGTTCACTGACCAATCAACCAGGTCTAATTGATGAGTACCAGTCCAGAGTGAGATCCTGTCTCAAACACCAAACAATCAATCAAACAAACAACCTCCCCAAAACAAAAACAAAAACCCAAAGATCAACAACAACAAAAATCCAAAACCCAAGTGGGATCAGGTGAAATGTCTTACTGGGTAAGACCATGCCATTAAGGCTGACAACCTGATTTCATCCCAGGGATCCACAAGGTGGAAGGAAAAAGGCAGCTCTCAGAAGCTCTCCCTCTGTCCTCAACATGCGTGCTATATCAAACTGATACCAACACATATACACGTATGCACACAAACAAATAAGTAAAATGTAATAAAATTAGCTATTAAAAAGTGGATGACTCCTGAGAACACACACACACACACACACACACACACACACACACGCATGTATGCACACACCCAAACACACATGCCCACACACTAGAAGCTGGTTCCCTTTGAGTGGTCTCTGCCATCCTCAATGACTCATGATAGGCATGTTGGTGTTTGGCCTTTTCTGGAAGAGGAATGAGCGGCCATTGGAAAGGGGGCCTAGTTGAGGTCTCTTAGCGCTAGCTGAAGGTGAGTCACTCTAGGAAACCGCCTTACGCTGGGCAGGAACAGAGACTAGAAATAGGAAGAACCAATGCTATCCTCCCTCACTTCTTTGATTAAACCTAGAAGGCAGAAAAATTTCAGATCTTCTGGGTAGGTGCTCAGGCTAAGTTCGTGGAAGAAGGGACCTGAGATCAGACTGGAGGAAGGGCATCTGTCCAAAGAAGCCACAAGGAGAGGAAAGAGGGAGGAGCTGGGGATGCAGTGTTGCTCTTAGAGTGCTTGTGTTAATTGACAAGGTCCTGGGTTCCATCCTCAGCCCCTCATAAACCGGGTGTGGTGTGATGCCTGTCATTCCAACAGCTGGTGAGTCGACGTGAAAGGGTCAGAAGTTCAAGGTCACCCTTGGCTTCACAGTGAGTTCAAGGCCAGCCAGGCCAATCTGAGACCCTTTCTCAGAAAAAAATTTAGAAAGCTCAGAGCAGGCCATGTGCAGTAAGGAAAAGAAAAGACAGGAGAGAAGAGCAGAGAGGTTGGGAGGTGAAGAGAAAAGGGCAAAAGATGTGGAAGACCTAGAACAAAGGATTCCTGGGGAGCGGGGCTCACTGACCATAAAGACAGAGGGAAGAAAGGGAAAGATGGGAGAGCTGGTGGAATCCAGGCAGATGTTCAAGGCTGAGAGGAGCCAGAGCCACAGAGAGGGAAGCCTAGGAAATGGAAGGAGAGAAGGAGAAAGACCCCATGAGGCCTGGGGCGGGGGCTGTTCTGGAAGGAGACTCCCTGAGACTCTGCTGCACCCCTTGTTAGTGTGTGAAGCTGGTGGCCCTGAAGAGCATGGCATCATGGAGGACACGGAGGAAGAGACAGGATGAGTCAGGGGAGGGGAGAGGTGCAGAGCCCTGTGTGCGGTTCTCCATTGTTCCTCTAATGCCATTTGAAGGGGCTGGAGAGATGGTTCAATGGGCAAGACACTGGCTGCTCCTGCAGAAGACAGGATGCCGCTCACCTGGCTGGGGTTTCGGCTTTAGTCCTCTGGCCTGTGGGGAAGAGACAGTGTCAGTGTGACATCCATGCTGATCGTCCATCTGCCCCTCAGCTGTCCTCTATGTTCAGCTCCTTCAGAGGACAGGGAAGCAAAGAGACAAACCCAGACAGCCAGAGAAGAGCCTGGACTACCTCTGCTGGGCTTTTGTCCCACACAGCAACCCCTTCCCCAAATCCCTGTCAGGTCCAGACCCCACCCCATCTGTCTCCTTTGTTCCTTTACCAACCTTGAGTTCCCCTGACCCTACACCTGCTTGTCTACTCTGTGTTCTCCTCTCTCCCTTTTTGTGTCCTTAGGAACCGCCTCCTTCTGGATTGTATTTTACTCTACTGGTCTATGTGTCTTGGTGCACACTGTGCTTTTTCATTGCCACTTATTTTATGGTAGGGGTTGTGACACAATCCGTGTGGAGGTCAGAGATCAAGTTGCAGGAGTCAGTACCCTACCATATGGCTCCCAGGCTTGGGCACCAACACCATCTGGGGGCTTCTGGAGCCTTTTTTTTTTTTCAAATTTATTATTTATTTAGCTACTGTAGCTTTTTTGAGAATTTTAAAATTATGCACTTAGTATAGGGTAGATGCAGATGAGAGCAGATGCCTGTGGATTCAGGAGAGAGCTTCTGGTAGACCTGAAACTGGAGTTCCAGCCTTTGTAAACTACCTGATGTGGGTGCTGGGAGCAGAACTCAGGTTCTCTGCAAGAGCATTCAGTGCTCTTAACTGCTGAGCCATCCCTCCAGCCTCCTATTGCAACTCAATAAACTCTGGGATCAGGCAGTGGAGTGCTCCATTATCGGTCATTTCATCTCTGTTGTTGTTTATCTCATTTTGTCTTGTTTTGTCTTTGAAGGCTTCTGAACTGGAGAAGATAAACTGTTTTTGCAAAACTGCCATTGTCATTTAGATGAGAATTATATTGAGTTCACTATTTTTGTAGTATAGAAATATTTTTTTCCAAAAATTTATTTATTGTATGTATGTTTGCCTGCTTGTGTGTCTGTTTGCTGCATGTGTGCTTTGCCCCTGTGGCCGTCAGAGGAGGGCATCAGATCCCCCGGAACAGGAGTCACAGGAGCCTGTGAGCCATTGTGTGGGTGCTAGGAATCAAACCCCGGTTCTCTGCAAGAGCACCTAGTGCTCTTAACCACTGAGCCATTCCTCCAACCCCCTGATATAAACATATTAAATAATTTTTTCATTTTATGAATGAGATGTTTCCAATTCACTGCTTCCTCTTTCCTTCAACAATGTCCACCACTGTGTTTTGGAGAACAATTCATTTGGCTCCTTAGTTTAGGCTTTTTCCCCAAGTGTTTTACGTTGTAGTTTTAGTTTTAAAAATTTGTTTTTATTTGTGTGTGTTTCTGTGTGTGATAGTGTGTGCCATCTGTGTTCCCATGCCCAAGGAGGCCAGAAGAGCGCCCTGGTTGCTTGTAACTAGATTTACAGGGGGTTGTGAGCGGCTCTGAGAGGCCCAAGCCCCAGACAATCCATGATGTATTGCCCATACAGACCCTGAATGGCTTGGCTCCAAGTGCCAACCCAGTGAAAGAAACACACCCTGAAAATGGGACCAGAGCCAGGGAAAGAGACACTTTGTTCCCAAACCTAGAACTGGAGAAAAGTCCCTAGATCCCGAAACCAGGACCAAAAGAACACACTAAGTCCCTAGATTCAGAACATACTAAAGATATTCACCTTGGTCCCAAAATTAGAGTCAAAAAGGTAAAAAGAACCCAAGAAAGAAACAGTTTGGCAGAATCAGAGCCATCTCTACCCCAATACAAACCAACCAATCCCTGAGCAGGGAAAACGGACCAATCACTGAACCCCTGGGGGCTTGGAATTCCTCTCAGGCAGTTACTGACAGTTGAGAACTCCCCCCAAGCCTAGAAAGCCCCCTTACATCATAGGGGGCAGACAATCACAAGCCTGGAAGTCCAGAGGTCCCCTCACCCCACTAGGGGGCAGCCAATCACAAGCCTAGAGACTTGGAATTCCCCAAGCTTCTATATAAACCCCTCTGTTCCCTGCTTGGAGTCCCTCTCCTGGTCCTGTTGCTGCTGCTGTGTTACTACAGATGAATGGGGGGAACTGACTTGCCTTGCAATAAAGACTCTGCTTTTGCATCAGATATGATCTCAGGGTGATGTTTTGGCGATCCAGACTTTGGGCATAACATTTTGGGGCTTGTCCAGGATTCCCAAGTCCACCACAACCATCCTCCACTGAGTCTTAAGGCACCATTAACAGGTACCTTTCTCTTCTCTTTTTTGTCCATGCAACTTAAGCAGGTCTCTTACGTTGCTAACCATCCGCTTTAACATGGGGAAGGGTGGGGCTCACGTATAGCACAAGAGCTAGCTGTCCATTTAACATCTAAGAGAATGGTGGTTGGAATAGCGTGAGGGCTCACGCAATATAGTCAACTATGTCTGAGGCCTGAAGAGCTCGGGTTACCAGTACATAAGACTAGGAACCAGCATGGGATCAAACTAGACTCTCTGAATGTGGGTGACAGCTGTATGGCTGGGGCAGACTGAGGGGCCACTGGCAGTGGCACCAGGATTTATCCCAACTGCTTGTATTGGCTTTTTGGGAACCCATTCTCTTTGGATGGACACCTTGCTCAGCCTAGATATAATAGGGAGGGTCTTGGGCCTTCCCAGAAGCAATGTGTCTTACCCTCTCTGAGGAGTGGATGGGGGTGGCAAGGTAAGTGGAGGGAATGGGAAGAGGAGAGGTTGCATCGGGTGTATGAGATGGCTCCATCACCCACTACACACCAGTTCCAATCAGGAGTCTGGATTTATGTCAGGAGGTACCAACACAGGACCCTAGAGCCTTGCTAAAAGAGACCCTATGTCGTGATCCTGATCACCCCTCCTGCCATCCAAGTTAACAGGATTGCCACCTGGGTACAGCACTCGCATGTACAACTCAGAGTTGATGGAGTCGCCAGAGCCTATTCCAGACAGCACTGAGCCACACCAGAACTGGACTGTGAAGCCCAACCCCAACAACCCCTTGAGACTCAAACTTGAGGTCTTGATCTCCCGATGGCCTCGTTAGTGCCTGCTCTGTTCCTGGTCCTACTAACACCCAGCTGGGTTGCCAGTAGCCCACACCAACCCCTAAACCTCACCTGGCAACTTTTGGGTCCCCATGGAAACCTGGTCAAACAAATTACTAAGGTTTCCCCATTAGGAGTTTGGTACCCCAATATAGTGTTGGACCATTGTGAGGTAGCGGGCCCTGACTGGTTAAATAGCAAGAGGGACCTCTGGTGCTCTAGAAGGAAAGGCTGCTCACCGCCTCCAGAGGTGAAGCGTTTATGCCTGCCTGGGGTGGGGCAGATTGATGACTAAGAAGTGTGGGAACTCAGCAGAGTGTTTCTGTAAGGAGTGGGGCTGTGAGTCCACTGGGCGTACACATATGGTGGATACCCCTGTAACAACAGACCTCATCACTCTGCCAAGAGCCAGGCAGTGTCCCCGCCGATGCTAACATTTGATTTCCATGTAACATTCCCCGTCCAGGGCCTACCCCTTACCTTTGTAACCAGTAAGAATGCTCTTCGCAGACCAACAAAGAAAGCAACAGATTGGGACCAGAGATAATCTGGAGCGGCAGGGTATATGAGGGCGTAGGAATAGGAATAGTCCACCCAGGAACTTTGTTCACATTACAATTGGTTGTCACAGTTCCTACCCTCCCAATCCCCAAGAGATAGGGCCCAACAAGATACTGGCCCAGCCTGCACTATCCCTCCCCCCTACACACAAAGTACCAAGTAGCCACTCCGTTGCACTGCCTACTCCAGCTACTCTAGGGTCATAACCCCTTTTTAGGTTGCTTGAGGCCTCCTACCAGGACCAGACCTCACCCAATGCTACTAGACCAGACCTCACCCAATCCTGATGCTTGTATCTTGACACGAACCCCTTTCTGCAAAGGAGTGCTATACAAGGACATTTCACAGAATCGGACCAGCCCACACAGTGTTGCTGGCAGCAGAAGGGGGAAGCCAGGCTCACGTCACAGGCAATGAAAGGATTTGGATTTTGCTTAGGGATCATGCCGGACACCTATAAAGCCCCATGCAACCGAACAGTCCAAACACCTCCTCACAGGTTTCTTTGTCCCCCAGAGGACAGTTGGTGGGCGTGCTCTTCCAGGCTGGCTCCATGTGTCCATGGGCAGGTATGAGCCAAGGTAAGGACTTGTGTATATTGGTGCGCCTGGTCCCTAAGATAATTTCCTGGGAAACTGGATGTTCATCTACTTAGGATCCTCCAGTTTCAAGTTAAATTTTGGGAAGTGGGACAATCAATACAGCTGAGCTGAGGCAACTTCTAGACCCTTCTGCTTTCCCATCCCCTGGCTTCCTCCTGGGCAGGCCCTTTCTCCTCTGTAAAGCAAAGTGGTGGATTGATGGCGAATTGACCGAGTCAACAGAGAAGAACTGATTTTGTGACTGTGAGGTTCACAAACTGAACTCTCAGAGGCCTCACTTGGAGAACCGGCTTAAAGCAGATTCCCAGAGGGGTTAGCAGTGCAGGCCTGCAGTCAACCAAACTGAAACAACAGCAACAAAAAGACCCCAGCTACTCTAAGCAGAGGCCTCAGAGCCTGACTCTGGACTCAAGAGGAGGCCATCAGGGATCTGCCCTGGGGAGGCCGGAAGCCACCCTTAGCTCCTCAAAAGCTGTCCACCTTGCTGTTTTTAAAGACAGGGTCTCTCACTGGGACCCGAGGCCCAACAATTAGGCTAGTGTGACTAGTCATCAGCCTCGGGGATGATCTTGTCCCTCTGCTCAGCACTGGGACTACAAGAATTGTGGTGACGAATCCTCAAGCTTGTGAGGCAAGAACTTTACTGACTGAGCCATCACCTGAGCCCTAGGATCTGAGCTGTCAACAATCCCCTTCGATGACTCTGGGGCAGACTGTCCTGTGGAAACACTCGGGAAGTGTGATGGGGATGCAGTCTGGACACTTACCTTTCCTCCTCTTCCACCTGAGGAACACCATCAATCCCAAAACCCCAGCCAGGAGCACAGCAGCAGCCACAGCCAACCCAACTGTGGTTCCCAGATCCTGAGTCTGATTCCCGCTCATCTGGCCTTCAGAAGTTGCAGTGGTGGGACTTCGAGCGGTGCTTCCAGGGGCTGGGAAGAGATGAAGGAAGTCAGCTTCAGCATGAACTTCCCCAGTGGGAATAAAGATTCTAGAGAAGCCTCTGCAGCACTCTTTGCCATCAGATACTGAAGCAAGGAACTCCAAGGAACTGGAGACACCCAAGGAGTCTCAAGCTGGGAGAAGGAAAAGGCTGAAGCCTGGAGCCATAGAACTAGTCTACCAGAGAGTTCACAGAGTTCTGACAACTCCTCAGATCACCGTGCAGGAGAAACTGAAGACAGAGGATGATGGCTCACTATGGGTGGGGCCACACCAGAACTGGGACTGCTTGGCTATTCATATGTCTTGCCTTCTATTTAAGCTTAAACCTCATGTCAGGACCTGTCAAAATCCCAAATATGGAGTTGGGGGGGTTGTCACTGGACGTCTTTGTTCCTCTTCCCAATCTGGTCATGCTAAGCAAACCTCTTTCCTCTGCTTTTCACTGTGACCCATCTCTCTAATTGTCCTGTTGAGGACAGGTGGCCAAGCCTGGCTTGTTAGAGCTCAGACCCTACACTCAAGTAACAAGTAGGTTCTTCTTGGATGGGGAAATGGACATGGGTATCCTGTCTCCTTTGGAGGATGCGGGATGGGGAACAGTTATTGGAAGCTCACACAGAAAGAAGGGAACAGATGCTGAGGCTGAGATCGGGTGAGTAATGACAACTCTACTTCCTGGTAGGAACGTCCTCAGACGCTCATGTCATCCCTTACAGAGACCAATCTCTAAGTCACCCAGATCTAAACAGTCATTTTCTAGTAACAGTCCTTGTTAGAATAGAAGTAGCCAGGCGGTCCAGTGGCTTACAGCGCATTCATTTTGTGGAGCCAGAGCAGCCATCATTACTATTCAGTTCCAGACTTTTTTCTTTCTTTTTTTCCTATTTGGTTGCTCTGTGTACCCTGACTGTCCTGGAGTGTTCTCTCTCTCTCTCTCTCTCTCTCTCTCTCTCTCTCTCTCTCTCTCTCTCTCTCTCTCTCTCTCTCTCTCTCCCTCACTGCCCTCAAACTCCCTCAGATTCAATTGCCTCTCTTCTCCAAGTGGTGAAATTAAAGGCATACACCACCACTACCCAGCTTCCAGATCTTTTTTAAATAAGAATTTCCTTAGCTGTCCTGATTTTAGCAGAGAGTGTTGGCAAATGTGTGTGTGTGTGTGTGTGTGTGTGTGTGTGTGTGTGTGTTTGTATGCGTGTGTGCATTACCTTCTTTCCCAGAATGTCCCAAGAGGGCAAAACCAAAATCAAAGTTATTGGATGTGGTTGAGTAATGACATAGAAGAAAGGAGTCTCATCGGCCACTGTCATGGATAAGGTTAGAGTCACTAAGAAAGTGTAGTCCCGAGAGGAGAAAAGGCAGGTCAGCAACTGCGGAGATGGCTCAGTCCAGAAAGCACTTGCCCTGTGCTCTGGTTAGTTATTGTGTCAATTTGACAAAGCTGTAGTTATCTGGGAATGAGACCTCAGCTGAGAAAATGCCTCCATCAGATTGCCCATAGGCAAGTCTGTAGGACATTTTCTTGATTTGATTGATGTGGGAGGGCACAGCTCACTGTGGGTGGTGCCATGTCTGCACTGGTGGTCCTGGATGCTTTAATCAAAGCAGGCTGAGCAAGCCCAGAACACAAACCAGTAAGCAGCCCCCCTCCATGGCTTCTGCTTCAGTTCCTCTTCCAGGCTCCTGCCTGGGATTCCTGCCCTGACCTCCCTTGATGATGGGTTGTGATTGGGATGTGTAAGCAAAATAAACCTTTTCATCCTCAAGTCCTTTGGTCAAGGTGTTTTTCACAGCAATAGAAATGCCAGCTAGGACACCTCTGAAGAACAAAGGCCTGAGTCGCAACCCCAGGGCCCTGTGCCTGGTGCTATACACTTGTAATCCCAGCACTGCAGGGGGAAGACGGACAGATCCCTGGGCTCACTGCCAGCTGGCCTAGCCCACTTGGTGAGTTCCAGGCCAGAGAAAGAACTGAGAGAGAGAAAGAGAGAGAGAGAGAGAGAAAGAGAGAGAGAGAGAGAATCACCAGGAGTCTTTTTGCTTAGACATGAAAGATAAAAATTGCAAAGGAACATATTGTTGAATTCGGTTACAAAAATGAAATTATGTGAAAAAAATTAAACCAATCACAGGATTCTTTCTCAATACTTGTTGCAATTATTTCTCTGGTTGTGATTTTTTTGCACTAAATGTGGAAATTTTGGTCGGATAAACACAATTCTTTTGGGGTCTGGGGATGTAGCTCATGTGATAGAGTGTTTGCCTAGCATGCACAAGGCCCGAGTCTCAGCTCAGGCACTGCACACAGGAGTGGTGACATAACCTTGTGATCCCAGCACTTGGGAAGTGGAGGCTGGAGGGTCAGGAGTTCAAGGTCATCCTCAGCTATATAGTACTTTTTGGGCTAGCCTGGGCTACATGAAACTGTCTTTTAAAAAAATGGAAAGAAAAGGAAGATGTCTTTTTATCATTAATTTTAATATTTTAAAAACAATGGGCAGGAATATTCAGCTAATGAATTAATTTTAAAAATACTGATGAAAGAACCCATAGTGGCCATGAGATGTAACTCGGTAACAGAGCCCTGATCTAGCATGCATGTGGCCTCAGGGACCATCTGAAGTCCTGCTTCAAGAAGAAAAACATGGTGTGTCTCACTGAAGCTGAGAAAAGTGCGGCTGCCTTAAATTGACCATTCTACTGAGCTCCTCGTAGAGTATCACAAAGGCTGAGAGAAATTAGGAAAAGAGGAAGAGGAAGGAGGTTGGGAAGAACAGAAGGTCATTTAGGGAAACAAACATGTAGGAAGCAAAGAATCATAAACAAAAGGCTGCCTGGCTAGTTCTGACTGTGGACTTTATACTGAACCAGTACAGGGGTTAAGGTGAGGAGTGGGAAGTTTGGGCAGCTGGTTACCGCTGCAGCCACCTGGAATTGTGGGGGTTGTGTCTGCCCCTCTGCTGCAGTGGAAAGCCTAAGGGGCAGCGATCCCAACAGGAGCAGGTACAGGGAGCCACCATGAGGGAGCAAGCAGGAGCCAGAAACCACTGTGGGTCCAGGTGCAAGACACCGAGGGAGCAGGCCAGAGCCAGAGAACTCTGTAGGACCAGGCCAAAGCCAGGGACCTCAACGGGAACAGGTTCAGGCCATGGATATCTACAGAAACAGGCCTGAAACAGCAATCTCCACTGGAGCAGGCCTGAGGCAGAGACCTCCACAGGAGCAGGTACAAAGGAACAACCACTGAGGAAGCAGGCCGGAGCCAGAGACCCCTGTGGGAATAGGCATGTGTCAGGGACCTCCAAGGGAGCAGGCCCAAGACAGGGGCATCTGGGAGAGCAGGCCTAAGCCAGCTACCTCAGCCAGAGCAGGCCCAAAACAGCAGCCTTGACAGGAGCAGGTACGAGGGAGCCACCGCTGAGGGAGCAGGCCCGAGCTAGAGACCTCCTCCAGAGCAAGCTCCAACCAGCAACCTCCACAAGAGCAGACCTGAACCAGCAACTTCCACAAGAACAAGCCCAAGGCAGCAACCTCCATGGAAGCAGCCCCACATGACCCCTGGTACTGCAAAGCAACCCCAAGGAGCACTGAGCTACCTTCAGGAAAACCGAGTGCCCTCTGGGTGACTGGAACCATGGCCCTGACTGCACCACTGGATGCAACCATCTGCGTCTTGGATCCACTGACACCTGGAAGATTGATCACCTGAGACACAGACAGCCCCAACTACACCAATCAGTGGAAAAGATGGGTATACTAAGTAAGAACACACTCAATACCACAGAGCAACAGAACACCAATAAAAACTAGTGGCCCTACAACAGAAAAACTTGAACAACCAAATATAGATGAAGCACAAGAAAATGACTTAAAAAATAACTTTAAAAGAATGTTTGAGGCCCTTAAAGAAGAAATGAAAAATTCCCTCAAAGAAATGGGAAAAAAGACAAAAAAGAATTGAAAAAAAATCAACAAATCCCTTCAAGAAAACCAAGAAAAAGCAACCAAACAGGTGAAAAAAAAATTAAAGACTTGAAAGTCAAAATAGAGACAATAAAGAAAACACAAACTGAGGGAATTATAGAAACAGAAATTATGAAAAATGATCAAGAACCATAAATGCAAGCATAAACAGCAGAATACAAGAGATGGAAGAGAATCTCAATCGCTGAAGACACAATAAAGGAAATAGACTCATCAGTCAAAGAAAACATTAAATCTAACAAAAGCTTAACACAAAATATCCAAGACATATGGAACACCATGAAAAGACCAAACCTAAGAATAGTAAGGATAGAAGAAAGAGAAGAACTCCATCTCAAAGGCACAGAAAATATATTCAAGAAAATTATAGAAGAAAATTTTCCCAAGCTAAAGAAAGATATACATATGAAGATACAAGAAGCTTATAGAACACCAAATAGTCTGAATAAAAAAAAGTCCCCTTGCCACATAATAATCAAAACACTAAACATACAGAATAAAGAAAGAATATTAAGAGCTGCAAAGTAAAAGGCAAAGTAATATATAAAGGCAGACCTATTAGAATTACACCTGACCTCTCAATGAAAAAAAAAATGAAAGCCAGAAGGTCCTGGTCAAGCGTTATGCAGACAGTAAGAGACCATGGATGCCAGCCCAGACTACTATACCCAGCAAAATTTTCAATCACCATAGACAGGCAAAACAAGAAATTTCATGACAGAACCAGATTTAACCAATACCTAGCCACAAACACAGCCCTTCACAAAGCACTAGAAGGAAAACTCCAACCCAAGGAAGTTGGCTACATCCACAAAAACACAGACAATTGATGATCTCACAGCAGCAAATCCCAAAGAAGGGAAAAACACAATAACATCACCAATAATAAAAACTAAAATAACAGGAGATAGCAATCACTGGTCATTACTTAATATAAATGAACTAAACTCACCTATAAAAAGACACAGACTAAGAGAATGTATACAAAAACAGAATCCATCCTTCTGCTGAATACAAGAAACACACCTCAGCCTCAAAGACAGACATAGCCTCAGAGTAAAGCGTTGGGGAAAAAAAATTCCAATCAAATGAACCTAAGAAACAAGCTGGTGTAGCTATCCTAATATCTAACAAAATAGACATTAAACTAAAATCAATCAAAAGAGACAAAGAAGGACCTTTCATATTAGTCACAGGAAAAATCCATCAAGAGTAAACCTCAATACTGAACATCTATGCCTGAAATGCAAGGGCACCCTCATATGTAAAAGAAACACTTCTAAAGTTTAAATCATACATTAAACCCAACACTAATAGTGGAAGACTTCAACACCCCACTTTCACCATGGCACAGGTCAGTCAAACAGAAAATTAACAAAGAAATAAGGGAACTAAGAGATGTTATGACTTAAATGGACTTAACAGATCTATAGAACATTCCATCCAAACATAAAAGAATATACCTTCTCCTTAGCACTTAATGAAACCTTCTCAAAAATTGACCACATACTAGGTAACAAAGCAAACCTCAACAGATACAAAAAAAAAAAAATGGAATTACCCCATGTATCTTACCGGATCATCATGGCTTAAAATTAGAATTTAACAGCAACACTAATTCCAGAAATCCCACAAACACTTGGAAATTAAACAGTGCTTACCTGGGTCATCAATGGGTCAAGGAAGAAATAAAGGAAGAAATTAAAGACTTCCTATAATTCAGTGAAAATGACCACACAACATACCCGAATTTATGGGAAACAACGAAAGCAGTGTTAAGAGGAAAGTTCATAGCACTAAATGTCTACATAGAGAAGCTGAAAAAAATCTCACACTAGTGAGTTAAGAGGACATTTGAAAACTCTAGAACAAAAAGAAGCAAACTCACCCAGTAGGACTAGATTTCAGGAAATAATCAAATTGAGAGCTGAAATCAGCAAAACAGAAACAAAGAAAACAATACAAAGACTCAATGACTCAAAGAGTTGGTTCTTTGAGAAAATCAACAAAATAGACAAACGTTTATCCAAACTAACCAAAAGGCAGAGAGAGAATATCCAAATTAACAAAATCAGAAATGAAAAGGGGGATATAACAACAGACATTGAGAAAATCCAGAGAATCATTAGGTAATATTTTGAAAACCTATACTCCACAAAATTAGAAAATTTAAAGGAAATGGACAACTTTCTGAATAAATATCACTTTCCAAAATTAAATCAAGACCAGATAAGCAAATTAAAAAGAACTATAACAGCTAAAGAAATAGAAACAGTCATCAAAAGTCTCCCAACCAAAAAAAAATCCCAGGGCCAGAGAGTTTCAGTGCAAAATTCTACAAGATTTTCAAAGAAGAACTAATACCATTATTCCACAAATTGTTCTACAGAATAGAAACAGAAGGAATATTGCCAAACTCTTCTTATGAGGCTACAATGACCCTGATACCTAAACCACATAAAGATATTACTAAGAAAGAGAATTACAGACCAATTTCATTCAGGAATATTGATGCAAAAATACTCAATAAAACAATAGCAAACAAAATATAAGAACACATCAAAACCATCATCTACCATGATCAAGTTGGCTTCATCCCAGAGATGCAGGGATGTTTCAACACACAAAAATCTGTCAATGTAATTTATCATATAAATAAACTGAAAGAAAAAACATATGATCATTTCATTAGATGCTAAAAATCCTTCAACAAAATCCAACATCCCTTCATGACAAAGGTCTTGGAGAGATCAGGGATACAGGAAACATACCTAAACATAATAAAGGCAATATACAGCAAGTCAACATCAAACTAAATGGAGAGAAACTCAAAGCAATCCCACCGAAGTCAGGAACAAGATAAGGCTACCCACTCTTTCCATATCTCTCTAAAATAATTCTTGATGTTTTGGCAATAATAATAAGATAACAAAAAAAAGATCAAGGGGATTCAAATTGGAAAGGAAGAAGTCAAACTTTCGTTATTTGCAAATGATATGATAGTTTACATAAGCAACCCTAAAAATTCTACCAAGCAGGATACAAGATTAACACCCACCCCCCCAAAATCAGTAGCCCTCCTTTACACAGATGATAAACGGGCTGAGAAAGAATATCACCCTTCACAATAGCCACAAATAGCATAAAATTTCTTGGAGTAACTCTGACCATTTAAGTGAAGATCTGTACTACAAGAACTTTAAATCTTTGAAGAAAGAAATTGAAGAAGACAACAGAAAATGGAAAGATCCCCCATGCTCTTAGGTAGGCAGAATTAACATAGTAAAAATGACAGTCTTACCAAAAGCAATCTACAGATTCAATACAATGCCCAGCAAAATTCTTCACAGACCTTGAAAAAACAATACTCAATTTCATATGGAAAAGCAAAAAACCCAGAATAGACAAAACAATCCTGTACTATAATGAACTTCTGGATGCATCACAATCCCTGGCTTCAAACTCTACTTCAGAGTTACAGTACTGAAAACAGCCTGGTTATTATCATTAAAAACAGGCATAAGGACCAATGGAACCCAATTGAAGACCCAGATATTAATCCACACTACTTCAAACACCTGATTTTTGACAAAGAAGCAAAAAATATCAAATGGAAAAAAGAAAGCATATTTAACAAATGGTGCTGGCATAACTGAATATCAACATGTAGAAGAATGAAAATAGATTCATATCTATTGCCATGCACAAAAATCAAACAAATAGATCAAAGACCTCAACATAAAACCAACCACACTGAACCTCATAGAAAAGAAAGTGGGATGTACACTTGAATGCACTGGCACAGGAAACCACTACCTAAATATAACTTCAGCAGCACAGATACTGAGAGAAACAATTAATAAATGGGACCTCCTGAAACTGAAAAGCTTCTGTAAAGCAAAGGACATGGTCAACAAGACAAAACAACAGCCTACAGGATGGGAAAAGATCTTCACCAACCCCATGTCAGACAGAGAGTTGATGTCCAAAATATACAAAGAAATCAAGAAATTGATCATTAAAAGAACAAATAATACAAGAAAAAAATGGGGTACAGACCTAAACAGAGAAATCTCAACAGAGGAATCTAAAATGGCTGAAAGACACTTAAAGAAATGCTCAACATCCTTAGCCATCAGAGAAATGCAAATCAAAACAACTCTGAGATTCCATCTTACACCTTTAGAATGGCCAAGATCAAAAACACTGATGACAACTTATGCTGGAGAGGTTGTGGGGAAAAGGGAATACTCCTGCATTGCTGGTGGGAGTGCAAGCTGGTACAGACCCTTTGGATATCAGTATGGGAATTTCTCAGAAAATTAGTAAACAACCTTCCTCAAGACCCAGCAATACCACTTTAAAGTATATACACAAAGAATGCTCAATTGTACCAAAAGGACATGTGCTCAACTATGTTCATAGCAGCATTGCTTGTCATAGCCAGAACCTGGAAACAACCTAAATGACCCTCGACCATTGAATGGATAGGTAAAATATGGTACATTTACACAATGGAGTACTATACAGCAGAAAAAATGACATCTTGAAATTTGTGGGCAAATGGATGGATGTAGAAACCATCACAGTGAGGTAACCCAGACAAGAGTATCAACAGGGCTTCATAGCTCTTCAGTCTAGACCAAAACAGTCTCCCCAAAATCAAGATAGTAGGGAGACAAGCGATAGCGTGAGCTCCAGCAGAGGCCGTGTGTCTACTGGTTGAGAGACGCTTGGAGGTAAAAGGGACTTTGTGTGGTCTGTCGGTCACCAGCATGACCTCAGGCAGGGGTTGAATTCTGCCCGTGTCTGTGTCTCTCCATATATAATGACCACAGAGTACCCAGCAGTGGTGATGGGTGGGCAGAGCAATGCCCAAACAGTGACTAGGCTGGGCCTGAGTGCACTCTGTGTGGAAGCTGAAGTCACAGCTGCCACAGAGGAGGTGAAGTGGCCAGGAGACCTGATCATGGTGAGAACGTGAGGACCTATGTGAGAAGATGGAGGATTCTGAGTAAGGAGGGAGAAGAGGGCAATGAGGAAGGGGGATTAAAAAAACTGGTGTGAGGAGAGGTGAAAGATGTGTCTTAGAGACTGATGAAGTAGGGAGACCCAGAGGAGGAGGGGTAAACATGGGAACCAGAAGGCACCCTCTGTGGAAGGCACGAGATATGGTGTAAACCGGGAAATAATGGAGACCCAGACACAGCACCAAGTAAAGGCTGCTCCATCCTGGAGAGGCCACACCCACATGGATATATAGCAATGAGGGCAGGGGTGAGCAGGGCAGTAGTGAAGTTTGGAGAAAGGAGCAGGAGACTGGGCATCTGGGAAGAGCTGAGGACCGGGAGTGGGGTAGGAGTGGAGTGGGGGGGGCACCGTAAGGGGGCAGCTCAGGAAGAGCAGCTAAAGCTTGTGGATGGTTGTGGGGAAGAGGAAGGAGGAAGTTGGCAGAGCTCTGCGGAGAAGACAGAACACACGAGAGGAACTGTGGGAAGGATCAGAAATGTAAGATCCCTAATGACATGTATGGTTCAAGAAAATCAGGGCAACGAGGAACTGACTGACCAGGGATGTACTCACCTTGAGTGATAGTGAGGTGGGTCCCATCATTTGACTGAAACATCTGTATGTCTTTACTTGTGTTCAGACGAACTTGGCAGAAGTATACTGTCTGGTCCTTCTCCTTCAAGTCCAGGATTCTGAGGACTCCAGATGTCTGAGGCTGTGTCCAGTTCAGGATGAGTCGGTTCTTAAAATGCTCATGTATGAAACCCGAGGAGGAGTTGTAGATCAATCCCCCATGGAAGTTCTTCCATCTCCAGAGAATCGTCATCTGTGAATCCTGTGCCAACTCCCAGGGGAAGTAGAAGGAGAAGCTGATCTCGATGAAGCTGCCCTGCACACCAGAGAGGCATGCTGGTTGTTCCACCCGATAGCCATTTACTCTGTTGGATCCTGATGAGTTCCCTGGGAAGGATGGGGGAGAATCTGAAGTCATGGAAGGGGATAGAAAGGAAAACCCAGTGTTTCCTGAGTCTTCACCCATAGGGACTGTCTCTATGTCCCACTGCTCCATACGGGACAGGACAGACAACAAAGGGCTGGACTGGACCCACTCTGAGGATGAGCTCTCTCTTGGGGTACAGGGGTCAGGCTGGCTCCTCTAGCAGTCACCTGTCCACATGACAGCCCACTCTTCCCAGCCACACTGGTCTCTCCTATGGTTAAGGCAGATGGCTGCTAGCAAGGTCCCCACCACTCACCACCACTCACCAGGTTGCACACACACTGCTGTCAGCAGCAGAAGCAGGACCCATGCTATGACCCCATTCCCTCCGTGAAATGAGACCAGCAGAGCCATCAGGCAGGAGAGAAGGAACTGTGGAGGAAGCCTGGGGCACTCAGGATTCAGGAGAGAATCAGGGTAAAGGGATCCACATCCCCCAGGCCTTCTCATGTAGAGGACTGAGTGGGGGCGGGACCTCTGCCTCTCCACCTCCTTGTGGCCTGCAACTTCCTTTATCATTCTGGCTTCTTCTTTCCCATGATGCAGAAGATCCACCCTTGTGAGACAATGGCCGAACTCTTGAGCCCAGCCCTGATTTGGGCAGGAAGATATAGAATTGACCTCACCAGGCCAGCTCTCCTCTCTTACACCTAGGCTTCCTGTCCTATCCAGACTTGCCCATTTCCTATGTGGTCTGTAATTGCTTTGTTTCCTCATCTCCATAATTCCCTTCACTCCCTCCCCTCCCCCAATCTATTTTTCATTGTCCCCCCACCTTCTGGTTGTTTTTGTCTCTCTAGTAACCTCAGGTAGAGAAGTGGTCAGGTTCTGCTCACTTCAGACACAATGAGGAAGGAAGTGATGGGGACACACATTCTGATCCCAGACTTAGAAGAGTTCATCACTACCCTGTGTCTGCTCTTTGCCCTGTTGTTGCCTTTCAGGAACTCTTCACAGCGCCCCAGCAAACCCAAAACCCAGTGGACACTCTGGCCCAAGCTACACACTGCTGCTGAGTCTGTGACTTCCCTGGCTTCCTGGGTGATCCCCTTCTTCTCAACAGTGACTCCTTTTTTTTTATTGATTTTTATTATCCTCTACATTTTTCTCTGCTCCCCTCCCTGCCTTTCCTCTCTCATATATACCACCCCAAGGTCCCCATGTTCCAAATTTACTCAGAAGATCTTGTCTTTTTCTACTTCCCATGTAGATTAGATCTATGTAAGTCTCTCTTAGGGTCCTCATTGTTGTCTAAATTCTCTGGGATTGTGGTTTGTAGGCTGGCTTCTTTGCTTTATGTTTAAAAATCACCTATGAATGAGAACATGTGATAATTGTCTTTCTGTGTCTGGGGTACCTCACTCAAAATAAAATTTATTAGCTCCATCTATTTTTCTGCAAAATTGAAGATGTCATTATTTTTTTTTTCTGGTGGGTAGTACTCCATTGTGTAAATGTACCACATTTTCCTTATCCATTCTTCGGGCGAGGGGCATTTAGGTTGTTTCCAGGTTCTGGCTATGACAAACAAAGCTGCTATGAACAAAGAATCAGAGAAGCCCTGGCACATGTCACATGACTGGCACACAGCAAGTGACTGGACTTCAGTCCCATCAGGTTCTTGTATTCCTCCACTCTACACTGACTTCTGGCTGCCTGCTCGGTGCAGCCTCTGAACTCCACTCAAGGCTGATAGATCTTCTTCTGAGCTCCTGGGAGGACAATCCCACAGAACACTTGAGAGATTCCCTCTGGCTGTGACTGTTCCAGAACATTCTTTGGATGAAATGGGCAAAGAAGGCTCAGAGCAGCAATGTGTCACTCGTGACATAATGCCTGGGACATCTCTGAGAGTGGACACAGCTGACCTGTGTTAGGAATAGAGGAGTAAGAGATGGGGGCAGAGGCTGTGTTGGCCACGGGGAGCTGCTCTACGAGGGCCATCCCACCCTTCTCCATGACAGGATACCATCAGTTCCCTGGAGGGCTGGAAGACGTGATTGTACCACGGGGAAGTGGCGTCATTCTGCCTGAGTGACATGTGCAGAGGTGAATCCCCAGTTCCTTAGATTCCTGGCATTGACTGCCTTCTCCATGCTCCCCTCAGGTGGCTATGCAGACTGCCTCCCATCAATTCTGCCTTCTCTGCCTTCCTCACAGTCCCCATGGTCCTCTGATTCCTTGACCTGAGCCAGAATAAGTTCTCATGGCCTCACTACCGGCTGCACATGGACACAGTTCTTTATCCATCCATCCTGCCCTTGGAGACCCCAAGCACAGACAGGGCCTATTGAACCTGTCAGAAACCCTCCCCCAACTCCTTTACTGGATGCAGTCTGATGTAATCCAGGCTGGGCCTTGAACTTGTTACATAGCCAAGGATGACCTTGACCTCGTACAGATCCTCTCTATTCTCCCAAGAGCTGGGTGACAGCCCTGACCCATCATGCATTTATTCTCTGCTGGAGAGAGAACCCAGGGTTCTGTGCCACCAATGAACCCTTAGCCTCAGTAAGGTCTGAGAGGGGCCCTCATGGTCATGTGTACTCACCTCCAGGGTTTCCCGAGCCCTGTTGAACACTCTGGGGTCTGTGGGTAAAGGGTAACTCCATTTCTAAGTCACCAAGGAGAGGTTGGGCCTGATGAGGCTGCCATGTGCCCCTGCTGGTCAACAGCTTTTTTATACAAAAGGCTCTGGTTGGTCCTTAAGGATCCCAGCCAGGGCTTGTGCTCAGCCTCACTGCTGCCACCTGCTGGCCTCTGAGTCTCAAGTCATAGGATCTGTTGTTTCAAGTCCTGGACTCTGCTGGATCCCCCATAGGGCCCTGCTGTGGGATGACTTCTGTCCAGGATACTATAATTAGTTTCCTGCAGTGACAACCGTGTTTTCCCCAATAACAGTGACTTGGCCCTGCAGCCGTGATGCTTTCACAGGGCATGGGCACTTTCTGTGGAAGAGCAACCTTGGCTCAGTGTGCACACTGGGGCTTTTGTGTGCATGTGACCATGGGCCTGGCAGGTTACAGTGTTAGAACCTGGCTGCTGCTCAGGCTGTAGCTTGGGTATACACTGCCTTCACAGACCAAATAAGTAAGTGCAATTTAAATATTTAACCCAAGGTGGGCTAGGCATGGTGAGGCAAGACTTTAATTCTAGAGTTTAGGAGGCAGAGAAAGAGGCAAGTGGATCTCTGCGTTATAGGCTCCCTAGTCTATATATCCAGTCTATATAGCCTGGTCTGTATACCCAGGCCAGCAAAGGTAAGACTCTGTCTCAAAAAGGAAAAGCAAGCCTACAAATAAAAACAAAACCAAGCAACAAAATCCTATAAAAACACAAAAGAGCCGAATGTACATGATATCTGAGGTTGTCCTCATGCACATACATGAGCACACAGTTATTTGTGCACATCTGCCCCTGCACACAGACACACACACCGTTATCCAAGGCAATTTCACAGAGGATGTGCCACCACGTGTTTAACCAGTCCTCCTCCTGAGTAAACATGGCGTCCCCAGGCCAGGCTCTAAGAGTCTTCAGACTCCAGTTCCTGATAAGGTCCCTAGCATTCAGACTCTGATTTTATACCCATCTGTGTTTTCCAATAACAGCAGTGGCTGAAAACAGGCTTAATTTTTCCTATTTCTGTCTGAACCATCCAATTTCAGAAACTTCCCTCAAATAACAACAGTGTAGGGCCTATGGGACCTGATGCAGTGGAAAATCTCATTGATGACAACTGTTCATTTGTCTACCCTTTTCCTGTCACACATAGCATACAGAATCCAGATGGACCCCAAAATAACTCACCCAGACTGGGTCCTGAAGAGAGTTAGGGAGATGCTAGAGGGGATGGCAGAAGGATGGGGGCTGGTGGTGTAGACAGGACACTCAGGCTGCACTAGGACATTACAGTAGCACCGATGCCCCGCCCCCATCTGACCTCTTCTTTCTCCCCTAGGACGACATCATCATCTTCATCTCCCACATGTGCCCCACACCTCAGCATGAGCACCTCCCTGCACCACAGTAGAGGGAAGCAACAAGAAGAGACTCTGTAGTGTGTCCTAAAGGCCCAGTGAGTGAGGTTGTGTGACCTACTCCTCTGGATTAAGTCTCCAGGTTTTGCTGTTGCCCAAGATCAGAGAGAGAAACTCATGAATCAACAAGTTTGAGGTCACAAAAACTAAGAATCTCCTAGTCCCCTCTGCAACACCATATATTTTGCTCTAAAAAGTCAAAAAGACAAAGAAAAAACAGCAAACAAACTATTAACAGACAGTGCGTACATAGTGGCACATGACAATATCCCAGCACTCTGTAGGCCAAGGCAGGTGGATTTCTGTGAGTTAGAGAACAGCCTACTCTACGTAGAAAATTACAGAACAGTCAGAGTTACACACTGCCATCTCAAAAACAAAAATACAAACAAAAAAAAAGATAACCTACTAGATTGAAAATTTTGTCCGAGTGAATCTAGAGAGAAAACTAGTGACATCTCAAGTTCTTTGTCGCCAACCAAAGTGAACTAAGATGACCTGCCTCCATCCCCTTTCTGTATTATTTGCAGTTTTGCTTAGCTTTGGTTTGTTGGCTTCAAGACGGGGTCTCCTGTGTGGCAGTCTGGCTTCAAACTCAATGGGTACTAATGATAGCCTCCAATTCATGATCTTTCTATTTCTACCTGTCAATCATTGGGATTACAGGCTTATGTCACCATGCCCAGTTCCCTTTAGTACATTTTGTTACTGACTGGCTCATGCCAGGGAACACTAGTCTCAAAAACTAGAACCCAACGTCTTCTTCATACTTGGAACACAATGTTTCCTTGACCCAATGGGAGTTTGTTCTGGGTTAAAGAACCTAAACGTTGTCAAGATTGTTGATTTTGTGTAGGTCTGCGTTATTTGCCTCTTGAATCTTCTTGTTTTGAACAACGAAAACTGACCTGGCAAGTCACTTAAACATTTAAATAACAGCTCTAAAGTTCCTTCTCTCTGCCCAACTACTGGGAGAGTAGAGTTGATGAATGGACACTACTTTAGATGACTGGCCAGACCACCATAACGGCAGCCTGCTTGTGTGAACACCTCAAGGTGAAGAACCAGCCTGTCTCCATCTTAGCCTTAAAAGTCATCTTAAAGTAAAAACAAATTAGGTTCATTTCTGCTTATGATTAAACCTCTGTAGCTCAAGGTCTTGGTTTTGCCCCACCTATACCCTTAACTATACATGGTTCCATACTGCCTGTTCCAGGAATGACAATCATGTCTTTATTTTTTTTTTAAAAAAAATGTTTATAACTGTTTTGTGACTCTACCTTTGTTTCAGAAGCTTATGAATGACTTGTGATGCCCACCCTCCAACCACGTCATGGTTTCAGGAGGACTATCTTGTTATGTTTATGTTTTGCTCCTGTAACACAGACTGTTTCACCCACTAAAATCCTTTATTTGGAAACCCCTTCCTGAGCTACAGAAGACTTGTCTTCCTTACATTCAAAGTGATGACCTCTTGAACCCTACCTTAGGTTAGGCAGCTCTTATACACAAATTAAAAACTTGCTTTAATCAATTGCTTGCTTTAATTAATTTGATCATGATATGTTGGGTTGGCAGTCTACCTACGGCATCTTTGGCATTAACTCAGTGATGCCCGGAGGAGACACCACCCCAGCTTCCAAGGTTACTGGGACCATGGCCGCTGCTGAGTTCAGCCTCAGGAGCCTTGGATCCAGTTACACCACAGCAGGCATCTCACAGATGATTCAATAGACTTCACTTTAGTCATGAGAAGCCTTGGTGACTTCTCCATATCCCTCCATCTTCAGCAAGCATCATGTGGTTGGGGTCATTTTCCCAATGACTCAGCTAAGTCCAATGATTGATATGCACTCAAGGCTTCTGATTGGTGGATCTCAATCAAACATGCCCATGAACCTCTTCTGGCTATAAAAAGCAGCCTGATTTTGATTCTTACTAGTCAGTCTGCTGTCCTTATGTCCCAGCATGCTCTTTGGTAGAAGCTAACTGGTTGACTATCAAATGTTAAGACACCCTGGACTTGAAAAGGAAGTCTTGTCCTAGGGGAGACTCCAGAGACCAGAATATCCACAAGGCAGGAAATCAGGAAAGTTGGTGCATGTAGATGGGCCTGTGGGGAATGGAAACCCAGCAGGGGACCCAAGCAAGCCATGAACTGAAGAGAAGCTTGGAGGGTCAGGAACTGTAGATGAGATAGCTGTGAGGATAGATGAGAGGAAGAGAGGAACAGGGATCCCCATGCAGTGGTTCTCAGTGTGGACCATGGTCCCTGCTTCTCTCAGTGACGCTGCTCCTGGACACAATCTGCTACTCTCTTAGATGTCACACATGAGTTGGGGGGTCAAGGGAGATTTATTGAATTTATTATTAATTCCATAGAGTGACAGGAAGCAGCACAGTAAGGCTCTCAGGAACAGAGACAGAAAATTTGACCTGGTTTCTAAGGAGAGGAAATCAGAGTCTACATGGCAGAAGTGGGGGTTCTCTTCTTGTACCCCCTGTTCAGGGACAAGATGTATCTGAGATCAGGACTGTAGCCATGCTCTCTGATTCTAAGGCAGAAGACAGGGAGGAGAGTGAGATGCAGGGTGTGTGGCCAGCAATCCCTACTTTGATGGAAAATGGTCACCTTGGTGAGATGCTGGGGCTTGGAAGTCTGGTAGCAGCAGATAACAGACAATGTCTCAGCAGATGCCTATGGGTGACCCTGAAAGGAAGGGTAGGAGTTTCCAGAGTTAGTCTTCCTGTACATTTGGGTGACTAGAAACCAAACCCAGGTTATAGGCCTAGGCAGCAGCACCTTTTCTCACAGTTAAATTGCTGGACCACACTATTTTTGGTTCATTAATATGTAATTTTAAAATGCTACATTTAAAATAAATTTAGAAAATATTATGACCATGATTTAATTCTGGAAAATCCACATTGTTTTTTCTGACAGAGCTTCTGACTGGCTTGGAGCTCAGCAATAAGGCTACAGTAGCTGGACAGCCAGTCCCAGAGCTCTACCAGGCCCTTGCTTGTCCAGGGCTGGGATTACAAATTCCTGCCACCTACCTGGCTTATATTGTGGGTTCTTGGGATCAAGCACAGGTCTTCTTGCCAAGGGCAAGGCTTTTCTGACAATCATCTCACTAGGACGCTTGCCTGCCTCTCAAAACAATCTTCCCCAGGCAGCCCCTCACCTGCTCCTTGGGATGACAGCCGCTCACCTGGCTGGGGTTTCAGCTTTAGTCTGCTGGCCTGTAGGAGAAGAACCAGTGTCAGTGTGGCAGCCATGCTGATCCTCTGTCTGCCTTTCATCTGTTCTCTGTGTTCAGACATTAGGGACCCAGAACAGCAAAAAGCTCTGAAGACATTCAGGGACAGGTCTGAGAGTACCCAGGAGTTGAGGCCGATCCTCAACTGTCCTTCTGCACAACACAGCAAATCAGAGGACAGCTTTCCTGTCCACTTCCCCTTGTCCATGTCCTTCTCCCTTTGTTTCCTCCCCCTGTCTTGAACTCATGTCCCCTCCCTGCTCTCCCTGCTCTGCACTCACCAGGCCTCCTTTTGTCTCCCTGGAACCTGGTACTGCCCCCTGCAGATTCAGTCTCAGGGTTCGAATTCCAGTCAGACTTCTGCTGCCCTCCCAGACTGCTGCTCTCCACCTCTCAGCTGCTCTTCTTATCCATTGCAGGGCTGAGCCCTTCTGAAAACCACAAACTACATCTTCACACTTTATTTCTGTGCCTTCCGTTACACTCCACTATCTGCTATCTCTGCTCCTGCCCTGTAGTCTTCGACTCAGCACGGATTTAAGTCTGCTCTGAACCCAGTCCACACTTGTCTCTTGTTTTGTGTGTGCACAAGGTCTCAATGAGCCCAGGCTGTCCTTCAACTTTCTGTGTAACTCCAGACAACCTTGTTCTCTTGATTCCCCTCTCTGTACTTCCCAACGCTGGGATTCCAGTGTTCCCTACTCTGTTTCCATGATTGTTTCTTAGAATCCTTTTGAATTTTAGAAGATAAATCATTGATCTATACAAAAATTCACTTGAGTTTTTAATAGAGATTGCATTGAATTTTTAGAATGTTTTGCATTGTAAGGACTTATTGTATTAAATTTTCCATTATTTAAATAATCTTACATATTTCACCATTTTCCTACCCTTTTCAAAGTATTTTCTGGGCAGTATATATA